GTACTGCCCACATCAAAGCGTAGCTCTTCCTGTATCTAGACTTGGTATTCAGATTCGGAGGCTATAAGGATAGTTAGTGCCTAAGACATCTGCCAGGCTCTGCACTGCCCAGGGTGAGAGCTTCCATTCCCAGAACTGAGCGTTGACATTGAAAACCATGTAAACCCAGCTTAGACTAGCTTAGGGTAAAAGGGAATCTGTGGTTTCACATAACTAAAAATTCCACAAAGATCTGGTTTGATAATACTGCATCTCAAGAGCTTTTTCAGCTTTGGCTTTCTGCACTAGGGGTAAAGGTGGCTAGCGGCTGCGGGCTTCTTAGGAAACACAGTGAAAAGGAGAGCGCCTTCTCTGACAATTGTAGCACAAGACCCTTCTGGCCCGAGCTCAGCTGTGGCTGGAAGGCTGGTGAGGTGGGGTCTCGTGAAGGGAAGGGAGGAGCATTTTACTAGAAAGCCCAGTCGGTTCTGGCAGGTGAAAACTGTCAGATGTGAGCCATGTTCCCCTTTAATGATTTTAGCTAGCCAATGACTTTATGATGTCACTTCCTGCTTCTACCCAGAGAGACCGGGAGATCTTCGGGAAGCTTCCCATCTTGTAGAACCAGGGACTCATGTCCTCCAAGAAAAAGACAACTGCCACTGTGTCCACTCCGAGCCTTATCTATAGATGCTTCCAGAAGTCCCTGGACCTGGCAGGAGAGGAGAGGGCCGCATCCACGAGCAGGAAGCAGGTCTTGTTTGTCGAGGAGACATCTAGAAAGAAGCAGTAGGGTGTGCTCAGAAAAACAGCCTTGTATCTGTTTCCTCTGTATCACCCCCGCCCCAGGAGACACACGAGGACTGTGAGACCCAGACCCACCTCCAGCACCCACACACACACACACACACCCGTGTCCTCAAAGAAGTTGAGTCATTGACTCACTTGTCTGCATCTGCCAAGAGCCCCCTTCATTCACTTTAGGGGGAAATACCCACGGCCTAGCCATCAGGTGGAGAGACTGCAGCTGCTGGAGTGGGCCCTGGGCCTGGCCCTGAGCCCTGGGGAAATGGCGGTCACGGCACGCAGGGAACCTGGTTGGGAGAATGTGCTAGATCTGCTGGCCTCCTTGGTGCTCTTTGGTGTTCCTCGTTGGTGCTCCTCCTCGGTGCTCCGTTCTGGTCGGTAAGCAGCTTAGGGCTAGGAGTCCAGGACCAGCTTGCAGGCTGGGCTGGAGCAGTGCTCAACAGAGAGCGAAGCAGAGCCCCCAGAGAGAAATGAGCTTCAAGGGGCTGAGAGGGAGTGTGGAGCTGCCTCTCCTCTCCCGAGAGCCTGGTTCTTTCTCTCAGGAAACAGCAGCCAGCACAGCACACCGGACACTCAGCCCCTCCCTCCACCTTGCCCATCTTGGCACCCAATTTTTTTTTTGAGCAATCGAGTAGAATTATTTCCTGAGGTCTGTCCAGTTCTGCTTTTAAAGTACAGTTTATGTAACTGAGACCTGTTATAGTAAATGTGGCTCTCAGTTGACAGGTGCCAGTAGAGAAGAAAAAATAATAATAATCCCGAGTATCCATCCATCCTCGATCCAGAACTTACCGGCAGAATCATTAGTGTCCCACCAAGCAAAAGGTGGTAAGGCCTGATGAGATGACTCAGCAAAATAAGGCGCTTGCTACAGAGCGGGGAGACCCAAGTTCAAGCCCCGGGACTCACATGGTAGAAAGAAAGAACTGACATCACAGGTTCCCCCTCACCTACCCCCACCCCAACTCCCCACACAGTGTACACAGTGCACGCAGAGACTAAATTAATAGCAAGTTTTTAATAGTGAGATAACTAAGAAAAACAGAAAAGAATAAACTCCTAAGAGAAATTATTTTAAAGATCTATTTTTAATTAGGCGTGTATGTGTGTGTGCAGTGCCCACAGAGGTCAAAGAAGGTGTTGGATCCTGGAGCAGCCGCTGCTGGGCGCTGGGAACCAAACTTGAATTCTTTATGAGGGCGTTACACACCTTTGACCATGCAACCTCTGCCTACCTCTGCCTCCCGAGTACTGGGATTAAAGGCGTGTGCCACCACTGCCCAGCTCTAATGTCCTTATTCTATAGACATGGAAAACCAAGGCTCAGAGAAGTGATGTAACTTCCCCAGGCCCCATCCCTGTTTCCGGTTGAGCTGTCATGGACACCTATGCATGCTGGCTCCAGAGCCCGTGCTCTCTGTCATCACTTGGTAGGCTTAGCTGGCGGCGCTCGGATCTGTGGAGAAGTCACCGTGGGATAAAGATCTGCAGCAGATCGAGACACTGCTGCCGCCGTGGTCCAGGGCCTCTGCCTAGGGAGGAGAGGAGCCACCGAAGACAGATAGAGAGCTACTTAGGATTCAGAATGGCCTAGTGAAAGAGAAAGGGGATAATAACTAGACTGGGGGGAGCAGACACCAGGAGCCCCATTTTCCCAAGTCATAGACTAAGGAAATGGGGACCGGGAGCCCCATTTTGTCATGTCAGAGGGGAAGGACCTACGACACCCCAAGATGCCCATCCCACGGGTTGGATAAACCAACTGAAATGTAGGAGAGAGGTCCAGACCAAAGAGCACTCAGTCATCGTACTCGGTCCTAAGGAGCTAAGTCTAGCCTGATGTTGAGAATGGTCCTGCAGCTTGGAGACTGAAGAGACCGGAGTGTCCCTTACTTAACACAAAGGGAATCCACCAAAGCTGCTTCTCCCTGCTCCAAGAAGGGAGAGGAGGAAGCCTGTCCACGGCTGCCAGCCTCCGTACTGCCCAAACTGACTTCGCTTGACTCTCTAGACAGCGAGTGACATTGGTGGATGTGTAAGGACCTTCCTGGTTCAAGTAGTAGCGTCCTTGACTGGTTGACTTTGTAAGAGGTTGTTTGTTAGTGGTGAGGAGGGGTTGTATGAGCCCAAGATGAACACAGACCCAGGAAGGTGCTTCCTCTCAGGCTGCTCACTGTCTCTGAGAGACGAGCAGACCATAGACTTGCAGGGAAACATGCCATCAGCCTGGAGACTGGTGTGCTGTTGGGTTGACTCTTAACCCCTACCCATGACTGTGTAATTTGAACATAACATAAAAATGGAAACTCCCAACGAAGCAGGGAGACCGTCAGAGCAATCACTTGTATTAAATACAAGTTTATAATAACGCCTTCCTCTCCGCTTGGCAAGCTCCCCGCTCCTTAATCAAACCTCAGTTGTTTCAAGACTTGCCTTCAGCGGGCACTTGGGAAATCACATATTTGGAAAGAGGCCCACTCGGGTTCCACTCCTGGCACCAGCGAGTACTAACTGTTCCCTCTCAGCAAAGAGGAAGCCGTGACCCCTGCATCCTCTGGGAGCTGTGTGGAGTCCAGGAGGTGCGGTTCAGAAAGTCGGCGTCACATATGCGTGGGAGGCCGCCACCTGTGGGCCTTGGAGTCCTGAAATGAGACCACTGGGGCTCTGTGACGTGCCCTCAAGGGTTCATGAAGAAGACAGACATATCCAGCTTCCCAGAATTTATCATTCTAATGTGCGTCCTCTGTGTGCGTGCGTGCGTGCGTGTGTGTGTGTGCGCGTGCGTGTGTGCGCGTGTGTGTGCGTGTGTGCGCGTGTGTGTGCGTGTGTGCGCGTGTGTGTGCGTGTGTGTGTGCGTGTGTGTGTGTAGGTCAGAAGAGGGCATCAGGCTCCCTCCATCAGTTCATGCTTATCCCTTTGAATTGTGTTGTCTCTCTGAACTTGGGGCTTGAGTTTTCTCAGTGAGGTGGAAGGCAGTGAACCCCATCCATCCTCTTGTCTCTCCCCCTCAGAGCTGGGATTACAGGTGTGTGTGGAACACCCGACTTGTTTCGCATGTGTCAGGATCCGAACTCTGGTCCTCATTGTGTACCAAATGCTCTTAACCGCTGAGCTGTTTGCCCTTCCCCTCAGGGTTATGCATTGGGGGCCGGGGGGCGGGGGGCTGCGGACCACCCACATCTGAACAGAGTTGCCTGGATGCGTTTGGTTTTGCTATTACCAGGAAACTATTCCTAGGGTTGTGATCGCTTGGGAGGAAAGGCGCTGGACAAATCACTAAGTTCGCACAGCGAGGAGTAGCGCCAGATGGCACGTGAGGAGAGGCGAGTCCTCACGGCCGCTCTCCATCTCTTCCCACATCAGTAACCCGTGGTCCCTTCCCCGTGGCTACAGTCCAGAGCACTGCAGACCCACCCAGCCGTGGCATGTGGTAGGGCTGGCCCAGCTGCATTCCCAGGCGAAAGCGCCTGCCCGGCCGAGTTGTCAGTCAGTCTCCTGCCCTGAGGTGTGTTTTCCGTCTGTGCCAGACTCTGCCTTTCATTTCTGACTTGTGACTGCTTGTCCTGAGCCCTGGATGAATAGAAAGACTCATTCCTCCCTCAGGTGCCTCCATCCAGGACAGGCCAGGACACAGTATTAGATCTTGAAAATGTTTCCTGGTCCTCTAAAGCCCTGTTCCCCCCCATCACATCGCCTGCCATCTCTGTAGCGGACTCCTCGCTTCTGTCCTTGGGGGGCCCAGGCCCCCCATCAACTTTTGACAGGCACCTGACTTTAAGAAGGGGGCTCCCTTGTGCTCCTTAAACCCTAAAGCTGGCCATCTCCACAATGCACAGGAAGCATCCAGAAACTGAGTTTCTGATTGGCTCTTGCTTGCTGCCCAGAGGGAAGATGCTTCTGAGAGAGGGTCAGGTCTGGTTGGTTATAGGAAGTCACTGATTTTGAAGTAGTGCTCGTTGAATGGTAGAAACGCTTCACCTCATCGGACTAGAGAACACGGCTGACAGTGACCCTGAGGATTGTGCAGTTGAGGAGCAACAGGGCAGGCCCACTGAGCTGAAGTCAAAGGGATTTGTGCCCGCCTGTTGGATTGGGCTACAGGGCCCCTGGAGTCAGGTTCCCAGGAGGCGGCGGCACACTGCAGTGCTCACACTCGCGTGCCCCGGTTTACACTCACACTCACCGTCACCCACATGGTGTTCTCTGTCTTTCAGCCTCCCAGCGCAGCCTCAGCCTGAAGAAGCAGAGGGGCCGTAGCATCCTCAGCTCCTTCTTCTGCTGCTTCCGGGACTACAATGTGGAGGCGCCCCCGCCCAGCAGCTCCAGTGTGCTACCGCCGCTGGTGGAGGAGAACGGTGGGCTTCAGAAGGTCAGTACACCCGGGAAACTGTGGCAGCATGTGTGCCCCGCCCGCGGCAGGTTCCCTCACCAGAGTCTGTGAAACGTGTCCGGGGTTCAGCCTTCTGGGAGGAAGGACTTCAGGTCCTCCCATCTAGCAACTGAAGAGCACGTATGATGGAAACGTAAGGCCAGTAAAGGAGTGCATGGTGACCTGAGCTCGAGCCCAGAACCCACACGGTAGAAGCAGAGAACTGACTCCCACGAGGTATTCTCTGGCCCCTTCACGCACACTGTGACATAGGCAGGCATGCACGCATGTGCGCGCGCACGCGCACACACACACACACACACATGCACACACACAAAATAAATTTAATTTTTAAAAAGGAACCAGTAGCAGTTACAGAAACAGGCAAAATAAGGTAGAGGCCGAGCAGACCTTGCAGTGAGGGTAATTGAGTTTAATGCCTGTGTAATAACAACATGTGTTTAGCTACAGCAAAGTGGAAGGGGTCTGCTGTGGTGAGTGTGTGTCGCAATGGGTCAGAACCCAAAACCACCCACGGGCTGTCTGACTGCCACACCTGAAACTAAATGACTCAGAACAATTAAGAATATAAGGATAGACAAGGAGACACCATCCAGGAATGAGCAAAGAACCCAGGTTACATTAATTTCTGTTAACATTGGATTTCATATTAAGGAAAAAAAAACACTGAAGAATGCAAAGGAGATTATCCATCAGGAACATGGTTAAAAATCGCAGACACCAGAGTCATGAAACTTTATGTTCCAAATAACATGAACAAAGAATATAAACCGATAAATCACAGAACAAGAAAAGAGCTGGGGGGCTGGAGAGACGGCTCAGTGGTTGAGAGCCATGGCTGCTCTTCCAGAGGACCTGGGTTCAATTCCCAGCACCCACATGGCAGCTCACAGCTGTCTGTAACTACAAGTCTGACACCCTCACGCAGACAAACATGCCCGCAAAATACCAGTGCAAATTTAAAAAAACAAATTACTTTTTAAAAAAGAAAGAAACAGAGCTGTAGGCCAGGAGAGATGGCTCACTGCCTCTGCTGGTAAAAGCACTGGCTGCCCTTCCGGAGGACTGGAGCTTGGTTCCCATTAAGCTGTTCCCAACAGCCTGTGACTCTAGTCCAGAAGACATACTGCCCTCTTCTGGCTTCCATAAGTATGTGCACCCACACTAAGTATTTAAATAAGAAAAAAGTACAACTGATCGGATGTGGGGATAGGTCAGAAATGCCTGATTTTGATATAAGTCTCAAAATGTGAAGAGCATTTGATATGACCAACTGTGTAAACAAAAGCAACCCTCCTCCTGTCTGTGAGGATCTTAAAGGCGACACCTGGGTTTGGTGAGGGCGTGGAGGGTGCAGCGTAGCATTAAGTGCCGTAGAGGACGTGCTAATTGGTTTACATTTCCGAGAGGACATTTAGCCATGTGGGACGAAAATCTTAGAGCATGCCTGTTGTTGATGAAATCAGTTTTATTTCAAAGCCAAAAAAAATGCTCATTAGGAATGTACAAAGATTAATATACAAGATGCTATCCAGCATAGCTTACAATGATCCAGGAAGGTACCTGATGCAGACCTCTGACCTACACACACAGGAACACACACACACACACACACACACACACACACACACACACACACACAGGGACACATATAAAATTAGCCTTCTTAGAGGCGTTGGAGGTGCATTTCAAACACATAATGATCCAAGAAGGGGTTAAAATAGGTAGGTGGTTAAATGAGCTACATCACAGCCATACAGTCAGTGTCAGTTGCTGTCTTGGTTAAAAATGACACGTCCTGAGGGATGGCCTGTCATGATTGTTAACACAAATACTCACAGTAGAGCTGGGAAGATGCCTCAGTGAGTACAGCTGAGTCCAGCACTTGTATGCAAGCCGGACAGCCTGGGTTCAGATCTCCAGAACCCACATAGAAGCATTAGTGCAATATCTTCAGGGAGTCAGCAGAAACATTAGTGCAATATGTTCAGGGAGTCAGCAGAAGTTTGCGAGCCAGCCGGCCTGCCACACACCGCAGCAAACGGTAAGCAAGATGGAAAGATCTGGAAAAGGCCTAAGGCAGACCTGAGATGTCAAGCGGCAGCAGAGACCCAAAGGGAAAGACTTGCCCACCGTGGTGCGGGCGCCCTAGAGGAGCTCTGCTGATGAACCGGTGGTTTGCTCCGTTGCCCTGGTATCTGGTAGTGTGGGGCTTCCTTCACCTCTGCTGGTCCATGGAAACAGGGCTCCTCTGCGTTTTCAGTGCCCTGGCATCCTCCAAAGACCCTCATGGACCAAACAGCCAGCCATAGTCAGAACACACAACACAGCCTTACACATGTAAAGAAAAGCGTAGCCTCGGCTGAGAGGCCCATGCTGAGAGACTCCGGGGAAGAGAGGAAGCCATAGAAGCCAGCCCCCACAGACATCCCAGGACAGCCGCTGGGACAGAAGAGACCTGCGGGACTCCAGCGTCTCCTCACAGCACTAAACATAAAACCTCGGAAAGCTAGGGAGAAGGAGACAGCAGCCATTTCTGAGGACTGAGTGTGAATTTTGGAAAAGCAAGTGGAAAAAATGTCTTAGGATTCTAACCAGAATCACAAAGATGGAAGCCCTCGGGGGAGGAAAGGAGCCATCTAGACCATCCGCAGACAGGAGGAGTTCCAGAAAGAGGAAGGAGGGGCAGATTTTCCTTTTTGTTGTTGTTGTTCTTGAGCTGAAAAAGACGGATTGCACCTGCTGTTGAAAGACTCACTGTCAGGACTGGGCCGCAGTGGATCACACGCCTGGGCTCATGTTGATGAGACTCTGAAAGTGACAGGTCTTTTTGCTTGTTCCCTTTTTCTTTCTTTCTTCAAGACAGGGTTTCTCCGTGTGGCCCTGGATGTCCTGGAGCTCCCTCTGTAGACCAGGCTGGCCTCGAACTCACAGAGATCCTCCTGCCTCTGCCTCCTTGGTGCTGGGATTAAAGGCGTGCGCCGCCACTGCCCGGCTGAAGTAACACACCTTGCAAGCTACCAGAACAAAGTCATTCCAGAGAAAGCAGTTATATTAGTCTCAGACTTCTCATCAGCAACAATAAAAGACACAAGGCTGTGACCCATGAGAGGGGAAAAAAATATTGCAAAGCAAAAATTGTGCCTGTCCAAAAGCTCGCCCTGGGCTGGGCAACGTGCCAAAGAAAACCAGCAACCAATAGCCTAAACTGATTCCTTTCTCACATGCGAAGACTCACATGCGAAGGCTCGCATGCAAAGACTCACATGCAAAGGCTCACATGCGAAGACTCACATGCGAAGGCTCACATGCGAAGGCTCACATGCGAAGGCTCACATGCGAAGGCTCACATGCGAAGGCTCACATGCGAAGGCTCACATGCGAAGGCTCACATGCGAAGGCTCACATGCGAAGACTCACATGCGAAGACTAACATGCGAAGACTCACATGCAAAGTCTGCCAGGCGCTAAGCTGGTTTCGATCCTGGTGATGACATAAGAAACCCAGACTCTGTTCTTCCCGTTGGACATCTTTTTGCTCGGCGATCCCTGGTCTCTGTGCCTCCCTCATCCTGAGATTTACATTCACGGGAGGAGGGTTGCAACCTGTGCTCTTCCTGCCCCCCCCGGCCTGGATCCTGTTGCCACGTTCAGCCCCCAAATGCCACACCGGACACTATATTAACTATGAAGCTGTTGGCCATTTGTTTGCTTTCTTATCGGCTAGCTATGACTTAATTATTTACACATAATTACTAATACATAATTTTTGTTTGTTTGTTTTTTGTTTTTCAAGACAGGGTTTCTCTGCGGCTTTGGAGGCTGTCCTGGAACTAGCTCTTGTAGACCAGGCTGGCCTCGAACTCACAGAGATCCGCCTGCCTCTGCCTCCCAAGTGCTGGGATTAAAGGCATGTGCCACCAACGCCCGGCACTAATACATAATTTTATAAGGACTTATCTTTTTGAGGACGCACTCCTGAGCGCCCCTTGCTCCTGGGAGATCACACGGCGACCACACTCTTCACTACATTTCCCAGAATCCTCCTGGACTCCTAGTCCCACCTATCTTGCTTCCCTATTGGCCAACAGTGCTTTATTGACACATGCACAGAAGGACTTTCCCATCAGAGGGTAACGGGTGGAACTAGCCGTGTCCATTCCTTTCGCATCATCGCTTTCATAGAGAACGCAGAACTTCGTGGCAGGGCTGCCCAGGTGCAGCAAGGATGGCATGCAGAGAAATTCAGCTGGATGGATTTCTGCTCTCAGCAGAGATGAGGAACGACCCAGTCAGCAAGAGTTTTAGTTCTACTTCAGACATGTGACTACACCTGCGTAACTTCAAAGGCACCGAAGCACAGCCTTACCATGTACCCACCCAGAAGAGACGCTGGGGTGCCTGGGTAAAGACCAGCTAATGCCTATTGCAGTGAGCATGGCACTGTTTCCGTGATAACTTCAAACACAGCGCGATGAAGAAAAGCAGAAGGTAGAGAGAAGACGCCGCGGGTCAGGACGGGCTGAACCGAAAGAAAGAAGCCTTGCTGCTAAGGCAGTATGAGTATCAGATCAAGAAGAATGGAGTCATATATGCTAAGGCTGGAGAGATGGCTCAGTGGTTAAGAGCACTCGCTGCCCTCGCAGAGGACCTGGGTTCGGTTCCCAGCATGCAGCCATCTGTAAGTGCCCCTCTAGGGGCTCTGATACACTCATCTGGCCACCACAGGCACCCACACACACGTCACATACATGCACACAAATGACAAATAAGTTCTAAAGCATTAAACACAGTAAAGACATTTACAGTGATAAAAGGTCTAATAAGTGAGGTATTTAATAGCCCAGCCATCCTTCCGAATTACCAAAGTATGGCAAAGTGTAAGAGGAAAGCTATGATAAAATCATGATATGAAGCTATTCTGTCTTCTGAAAAATGAGCAGCAAACAACACAGGAGAATCGCTGGTGGGATAAAACAGGAAAATGAAACAGGCGTCATCAATATGGAAAAGCTACAAAATTAGCCTTGCTTGTGACGACATCACTGTTTATATAGATGCCCAAGAGAGAGAGAAACTGATTCGGATGGCCGGGAGCTGGCTCTGTGTGCTTCTGGGTGGGCTTTAGATTTTAGATTCCTGTGGAAGGAAAACCTATCAAAGGATATTGGAGAAAGATTAAGGAACAGCACGCTGAAAGACGGCTTACCCTAGCAGACCTCCTCCTTGGTGTGTCTAACTCTCAGTAACGTGTAAAACGAGAGTCAGTGTGGTTCAGATCCTGGCCCCAATTCCAAGCAGTTCTCTCTCCCTCCCTGCCTAAAAACTACTGCCATGAGCGGGCACCAGTGAGGTTGCTCGTCAGGAAACCAGGAAATGGCACTGGGAAACGGCACTGGCTACCAAGCCTGGCAGCCTGAGTTCCATCCCTGGGACCCACGTGGTGGAAGGAAAGAACCAATCCATGCAAGTTGTCATCCCCCAGCCTCCACACATGCGGGGCGGCACATGCCCACAAGCACATACAAAATAAATAAAAGGTAGATAAGCGTGATAAATATGTCTTAAATAAGAGACTTAAGACTCCGTCACTGGACAAGTGCTCTGAGAGAAGGCAGCCGTGGTCCTCGGTAGTCTGTTGAGACGAACACCTCTTAAAGGTGCTCCTTTGGGCGCAGTAGTCTCACTTAGAATTCCTGTCCACTCATGGGCTGCCTCTGTCCACATTTGCCAAAATGTCTTTTTAAATAATTCAGGTGGGCTGGAGAGAAGCTGGTTCAGCCAAGCTCACAACCAAAATAACTCGGGGCTTGGGAGTGGGGGCTGGAGAGAAAGCTCAGAGGCTTGGCTGCTCTTCCAGAGGCCTAGAACTGGGTTCCCAGCACCACGCTCACAACCCTCTATAGCTGTAGTCAATCTGGTACCCCTTGTGGCCTCCAGGTGCACCAGACGGACATGCGTATGGTACACGGACACACATGCAGGCAAAACACCCACACACAGAAAATGGAAGTAAATGTTTTCAACCTAGTTAAATCTAAAGTAAGGTGCTGTTGGCCTGTGGGACCGTGTGGGTGGGGAGGCTGACTCCCAAGGGACGCTGAGCCTCTAGCCCTGAATCCCTCCAGTACCCTCGGAGCATAGGGCACGCCCAGTCCTGGAAGTAGCTCGGGACTCTACTGCAAGTCTGCAGGGCTCCCTGCCTCTCCTAGCTCAGCACGGTGGAGAAGGCAGGCTGTGGAGACGCCTTCTGGCCTGGAAAGAGGAAGGTTCAACCATCCTGCAGCAACGGCTTTTGGGTCGACAGTCCTGGGGCCATCTCAGCTACACCGTGGACCTGCAGAGCAGCAGCATCCAAGACCTACAGGAGTCAGCACCCAGTAAGACTCCAATGGCGGTGACCATGGAGGACTCCCGGTGTAAAGAGAGCATAAAAGGGATTTCCGGAAACACAAATGCACACATGCATACCCCCATACACAACACCGCGCACATATACCCTATACACATAAATTCACATACACACACCTACCCTCCCTACACACACAAACACACACCTCATAGCACACACACACACACACACCTCACACACATGCGTATGTGTACGCACCCATGTAGTCCTCATGCCCACATCCCTGTGGCTCGGCACTTCTGTGTGTTCGTCGTCCGTGTTCTGTCAGCCTTCGGCTGTGCTCTCGCAGCCTCTCCACACATGCTCACCTCATGACGGGTGTTTCCGAGGCTGACTGCATGGGACTCTGCGGTCTCCTGATGGAGTGGGCTTCCTACACGGCTTTGCCTGCAGGAGCACTTGCAGGGCCTAAAGACATGTCTCTGCCCTGGGAGACACCCTGGAGAGGCAGGCCGTGTGTGCCTGTTGTGAAGTCAGAGGACGCTCTCCCCCAGTCATCCAGCTCGGTGTCACTGCTCTGACGGGGCCAGCACTTACGAGCTTCTGGCTAAAATCTCCCCCCACCAATAGCAGCCATCTGCTCCTCGGCCCAAACGCTGGGAATGGTATGATTTAGATGTTTCTGGGGTGAAGTTCCCTGCACAAGGTGTTGGACACTGGGATTTGGTTAGCGTGTGCTATTGTGTAGAAGAACCACGCAGCTCCCCTCTGATAGAGGCTGCTTAGAGTTGTGGAGAGGGGTCCCACGAGGACCTCCTGGCAAAGGAAGGAGTCTTCAGAGTCACCTTCAGAGAAAAGAGGAATTGCAGTTACTCCACAGAGGTGACGTCTAGAGGCCAGAGGGAATCAGGAAGTCACCGTGCGGGTCTTGGCAGAGCTGCCAGGAAGTGTCGGCCTCTTTGCAAGCAGGTTTGGCCTTCACTGCAGACTGTGACACTGGTGACTGCCTTGGTATCCATGACACATCTTTTTATAAATCCTCCAACTGGAGACACGACACAGTACATCTCCTATCCCACTATATGAAAAAGAAGGGGGAAAAAAACCACAGAAAATAAATAAAACCATTTCTTGTTAACATTTATCAGTGCTGCGGTGAACTGTTCCTGCCAGTTTGCATGGCTGGTATCCTGGGCTGAGGCTAGTTGTTGAATATTCTCAACACCCTCGGTGAAAAGGGGAAAGCTGCATGGGCAGCCTGGGAGGGAACTTCTTGTACCTCCCCCCCCCTGCCCTACCGAGGACCTGGAGGGGTCAGACATTCCTTGTAATTCGATAACCCTGCCTCCCTTTCCTGCCTGCTTGTTAGATTCCTGTCCTTTGGGTGGGGGTATTGCTTAAAAACAAGCCAGTTATAGAGGGGTGGGGACCAAAATATGAGAGTGTTGGGTTTTGTTTTTAAGTTAGGAGCAGGGCACACACTGCTTAAATAAGCAGAGAGGCTGTGAGCTTGGGGAGCCCCGCCTCTAAGTCCTGGAGGGGTCTGGAGGCAGCGTGGGCCTGCTGCTCCCTCCAGGAAGTTCCTCAGCTCACTGCACCAGGGTGCAGGGGTGGGAAGGCCATTGCCGAGCCTGTGCTTAGGAGAGTTTACAAGTCTCTTTCGAGAATGTGATCTCTTTGTCTCCCACCCTGACGACGCTTTTCTTTTCTTTTTCCTCAGGGTGACCAGAGGCAGGTCATTCCCGTACCAAGCGTATGTATCTTTACCCAGTTCTATTAATGCATGCATGAAATCCTTCAGTGCCCTCGGGTGTACCCAGGGGAAAGGCGGTCCAGTGTTGTTGCCTCTGCTGAGTTTTATCGTGTGGTATAAACAACCATATTCTGAAGAGAAAAAAAAAAGCAAAGAAAGTTAGCTCGAGCTGTGAACGTGACTACTGTCCAGGGGAAGAAACAGACACCTGTAGTGTTCACCTGCTTCTGGCCGCTTTTCTCCCTGCAACCCTCACTTCTTTCTCCCAAGAAGAAACTCCGGTTTCAGTAAACTGAGGTGGCCTGGAGCCCATCCCCACCCACCATACTGCATCAGCCCAGCCCTTCCGGCCAGGAGAGCAATGACATGACCCAGACTTGCTTCTTCCCAGCAGAGTTGGCCTCCCTGGACCTGCTCCCTGCTCCAGGGCTGCTTGGCTGCAGGTCTGGGTGGAGGGGAAACTTCCGGCAGACTCCTTGATCTCACAGGTCCCAGCCCACCCTTCAGGCCCCTCAGGCCCTCAGGCCAGCTGCTCAGCAACTCTCCCTCAGCCAGCACCTCACTTGCCCTTTTAAAACCTCGCATTCCAGAGCTAGGCTGTACCTGTGTCCCCAGTCCCCTGCCCCCCTTGCTCAGCCAACAGCACTGTGCACCCTCAGATCCAGCAGCAGACAACCTCCCTAAGGAGCTTTACAGGTAGGCCCTGCCCCACGTCCTCAGGGACTTATTCGGTTTCTAAAACAGTCTATGAATTGGTCTTTTAGGATTATCTGATTCCAATTATGGGATTCCAATCTGTTTGTGTACTTTGACATATCTCCTGGAGCCTGCAAGAAGTACAGCTGTCCTGTATTGGATCGAAGTGGGTTTTATGAGTTTGGGTTTACAAGAAGGCCTTTGTTACCACGTGTCATTTGCAACTGGCCCAAAAAAGATCAATCATTTTATTTTTCTCAAGACGTTCTCCATTGACCATGCCTAGGGGTTGAGCTTCTTTGTGGGAAAGACTGATCAGGCAATGTAGCATCTGAGCCAGGGTTTCCTGGGGACACCCAGCAGGCTCCATCACAGGGCTTCCTCTAGCCTCTACAAAGGTATTTTCGCACACTTTTCTTGCACAAGTATCTGTATTAAACAGGTGGCAGCATCTATTGCCCCCTCCCGTTCAGCGTCACTACTGTACACTAAGGTGATTTGTGGCCGCTTTAAGCTAGGGACCAAATGAAAGCAACTGTGGGTCGTGCAAACCCTGCGGAGGAAACTGGCCCCTTCCCACACACTGGGCTCAGCCATGCACAGAATTCCAGCATAAGGTAAACAGGGACGAGAAGGTTCCTTGTGCAATTTATCTTAGCATCAGATCCATAAACTGCAGGCTCTGCCCTGTACCTACAGCAGGCGGAGGGTCAGGCATGTGACTCTTGGGACTGGGTCAGTCATATGACTCTTGGGACTGGCTTCCAAATAGTCCACACCCAGATGAAGTAAGTTGTATCTTTGCTCCCTCCCCTTCCCCCACACACACACACATACACACACACACACACACACACACACACACACACACACACACACACGCTGGAAATTACCTGTGCCTATTAAACAAGTACTCTACCACTGAGCTACATCCCCAGCCCCAATTTGCATCTTTAAATGATGACATGAAGGCAAACAGTGGTACCACTGGGCACAGTGTGTGTCACCTCCAATGTCAGGACAAGAGCAAGGTCACCTGGGCTCGGTGCGCCCTGAATTTAAGTCTTGACGTCCCTGGTAAGATCTGTTCTGACTTCCCAAGGTCCCCAGGGTCACTTAGGTAGAGTGACCCTGTTCTTTCTGGAGCAGAGGGGCTTCTGGGTAATCCTGAGAGTGACTGAAACTAGGGGTGCCGCATCAAAGGACTAGATACCTAAGCAGTACTGCGCCTCCAGATCAGGTCCCCCGGCCCCCTTCCTCTTCCTCCATCTGAGGCATGAGTGCCCAGGGCAGCTGCTGGCACAGAGTCCCCATCTCTGCCTCAGGCCTCACCCCTGCTTCCCTCGTTCACAAGTTTTGCTTTGTCCTTGTGCAAAAAGTCTTAGACTTCAAACTTTGTATTCAACAAAAAAATCCAAGCCAGTAGTTAAATTTTAAATGATGGAAAATTAAAATAAGAGGGGAAGAGAAGATTTCTCCCAGCAGTTCCCTCGGTCTGCCATAACTAAGGTTAACGTTTGTCCTGCCCCTCTCAGAAAGCTTCCAGACGAACACGTCCACGCACACGCGCATACGTGCGTCTGCCTCGTTGCTTTGCCTGCACTCACATGGCCGCCGTTTGTGCGCGTTCACAAGCTCCAGGAGTATCTGTGCGCACGTGGGCATTGCGAGTTACTGAAGCCAAGTTGCCCTCCAGAAACTGAGACGACCCCATCCCCTTTCTGAAAACGGCTCTCAAAGGCTCTCAACCTTTGCCAGTCCCTTCTGGAAGAACGCTGCCAATCTGCCGCTTGGCTTGTGTCTGTTGCCCGGTGGATATGCAGTTTCTCCCTGGCCACACACCTTACCTCCCTATCTTTACCTTGCCCTGTCTTCCTATCTTCTTTTGAAATGTTCAGGAAGTGATGCTTGGGCCTAAGAGAGAGAGCACGAGAGAAAGTTTTTAATGTCAAAAGACTATCTATAATGTCTCCTTGGACCTTGTTTATAATCATTGTGGCCACAAGGAAATTTTACTCTTCTGTAGGTAAATGTACTCATCTGTCCACTCTGTGCCTGTGACTCATGAGCCGTGTTCTCCTCTGGGATTTCCATGTTCTAGAAAGCGTGGCATAGTGCTCCAGCGGCCACCCGGCTGCCCTGAGCCTTTGCGGGGCCCTCATCGTTGACGCGCCACCAGGGTGACATCTTTACATGGACTGTTGAAAGTTTCAGTTAGCAGCTCTTATATCTCACCCGTGGGCTGAGAGCCAGGGCCTCCCTCACTGGGAGGCTGCATGGGCTTTTCAGCTACGGTCTGGTGTTGAAGGGTAAGGGTGAAACGCGGGGGATGGAAAGTGCTCGCAGCTTGTGAAGACTAGGATCTGTGGCCCTGGTCCTGTGGTTTCACACCCTTGCTGAAGTCAGGCGTCTATCGATGTGTACACGCAGAGCGCCCTGGCAGTATAGCTCCGTGTCAGCGTGAAAGGGAAAGATGGGGTTGACATGACAGTCAGTCTGTGTTGTCTGCCACCATGATGCCTTCCTCCGCCCCCACTCCCGTGTTGCTGCCCCGCCCCCACAAGTCCCGTGGGTGCACGTGTGTAGGTGACTTTGTATAGAAAAGTCCATTCTTATCATACCCGGTGGCCCATGTTCTTAACTCTACCGCCAGGAGGGTGGAGAGTTCCAGACCAGCCAGAGCTAAATGGCCAGCAAGATGATTCGGTGGGTAACGGTGCTTGCCAAGTGAGCCTGACACCCGCGTTCACCCCTAGGACTCACATACAGGTGCAAGAAGACAGCAGACTCCAGAGTTGTCCTCTGACCTTCACACATTCAGCACAACACACATGCATGGCATCCACGTGCCCACATATAACCACACAATAATAATAACTAGAGGTTTTTTTTTTTAATGACTAAACTGATGGTACAGGGTACAGGCTTCTAATTCCTGCTATTCAGGAGGTAGAGGTAGAGTGAGTTCAAGGCCAGCCTGGGTACCTTAGTAAGACTTTAAAAAGAGGGTGGGCATGGCTCAGTTCTACAGGGCTTACGTAGCAGGGATGCCTCCTGGTTCATCTTAAAGTTCTGCAGTAAATAGGTAAGACCCTTTTTAAAAATATATTTATTTATTATGCATATTGTTCTGTCTGCATGTGTCCCTGCACACCAGAAGAGGGCGCCAGATCCCACTATAGATGGTTGTGAGCCACCATGTGGGTGCTGGGAACTGAACTCTGGACCTCTGGGAGAGCAGCCAGTGCTCTTGACCCCTGAACCACCCCTCCGGCCCCCTGTAGCGCCCTTCCTGATGAGTAATGGGTGCTCTTCTTGTTCGTGAGTTTCATGATGGCTGCAAAGATCTGGTTAGACCTTCCAGTGAATGGTTCCAGACCAGCTAAGTCACAAAGCACTGTGGGGGCTTTATGGTGTCCTTGTGTTGCCAAGAACTCAGGCTGTCTCAGCGGGACACTGAGGAATTTGCAGTTCCTACAGAGGAGGCTCCCAGAGGAGCTGTGTGAAGGGCTGGGGGTTGATCGGCCTTCCTCTCTGCTGTAAAGTCAGTAGCCTGCTTAGCAGGAGTCTCAGCCCACCCTATCCCCCCTCCTTGCATCATTCGGTCAGGGATATCTGGGTTTTTATTATTATTATTACTTTTAATCAGAGAATGCTTATAAAGTGTGGTTGCATGTGTTGAGAAGGTAATTTTTAGTCCTGGGCTTGGGGAATCGCTGAGCTGCTTTTGGCAGATCTTGGATGATTTCTGATCTGCGAGGAGTAGAATCGCTAGAACCGCGTTTTCCAGGCTAGCACAAGTGGTGTGTAAAGCCAAGGGAAGAGCTGGAGGGAAGCTGGCTAAACCCAGGGGAGGGGGACAGAAAGGGAAAGGCTCTTACCTGTCCATACTCTGTGGGGACACCAGACCTTGAGCAGAGACCCGTGGAACTGTCTTTTTAGAAACATGTTTTTGTACTAAACTTGGTGTGAGTTTAGTTTTTGTTGTTGTTTTGTTTTGTTTTTAATAACCTGCTGGCTCAGCCGTTTATAATGATGGAAACAGTCCCCTCTAGGTGCCTGAAGTCCTTGTCGGCTGCCAGGACACACCCACTTCCCTCGCTGCTGTCGGGAGGCCGTGGAGGACTGAAGCCAGTTTTACTTAGAGCTGTGGGGAGTGGAGCCTTCTGGGCTTTTTCTTCTCCGTGATTTAGAAAGAGAGGTGACTGCACAGAACACCCTGGACTTAGGCCTGGGTGTGGTCCCACATGTCACCTCTTCTTGCTCAGCCCCTGTCCTTGGTGATCGCAGTAGCTGCCTCTTCGGCTAACCACAGCAGGCCTGCGGTTTACACTCGCTGTTGGGCTAGCTGCAGGTCAGTTTTAAATTTCACTTTCAGTGCTGGAACTAACCCTGTCACCTCACGATGGGTCAGCCTTCTACCGCTGAGCTAGACCCGCAGCCCTCTCAAACAAGTCCCTAAACTTACTCGATGGCCTAGACAAGTCTTGTCCATCCTCCTGCCTCGGCCTCCTGGGAAGTCCTCCTGGGATCACAGGTGGGCACATTCCAGCCCAGCTTCAAACTTATGTTTTGTTTTGTTTTGTTTTGTTTTTTCCATTAGCTAATGCTCAAAAGTGAAAGGAACCAGCCGCATAAACGCTTCTGATTTCAGGGCTGCTTGTCTTGCTTGAAAAAGTCCGCTGCTCATTCTTCCGTGGCTGAGTCTAGATGTTTAATTATGTTTTGTTTTGCGTCAAACATTAAACAGTTTGCAGGAAAAAAATTAACTAGTTGACATTAGCCACTGAACATACCACAGTCAATTAAAATACTTCACCATTATCTCTGGAATGAGGCAAGGCCCAAAGAAATAAATACTTAAATCGCAGAGCCGTGTATTAGCTTCTTCCAGACCCCACCACAGGATAGGAGTCAGCTGCTGTGAGGACAGGTTTTTTTTGGTTAACATGGCGCGTGGATTAAAATCTAAGAGGTGCAGATGCCCCAGCCATCAGTTTCACACCACAACAGTGTCGATTTTAATTCTTGAAGGACAACTAGGCCCACAGCTTTCCTTCAGGTGTTTAAGAATGCCAGGCATGGGCTGGGGAGGCAGCTCAGCAGTTAAGACTTTCGTGTTGCCCCTGCAGAGGGCTGGGCTTAGCTTCCGGCTTCTTACAGGCACTCTATGTACAATATGCACGTGGAGACAAACAGCTCCGAAGTTTCCTGGCACGTTGCAGTGAATCTTATAGACAAAATAGCCCCCAGGCAATAGGCCTGAAGTCAGAATAGTTGTTACAAAGTAAACCCTCATTCTTCCCCACCCTCCACTCCCCCACCTCGAGACAGGGTTTCTCTGTGGCTTTGGAGCCTGTCCTAGAACTAGCTCTCATAGACCAGGCTGGTCTTGAACTCACAGAGATCCACCTACCTCTGCCTCCCGAGTGCTGGGATTAAAGGCGTGCGCCACCAACGCCCAGCTGTAAACCCTCATTCTTATGTGATTGATCCATTATAATAATAATAACGGCCACCCTATGCACACCAGAAAGAATGCTGGGTGGTTTACTGCTGGTACAACTGATAAGCATCTGTTTTACTTGGAAGTATAATCACCTCAACCAATAACAAAGAGTGTCTGAGGTGATATTAAACCAGGCTTGAAGCAGAGCCCAGGCCCTCCTGTTAGTCAGTCACAGACAGACACAGCTTCCTTCAGTGGGGCAGAGTCTCTGTGGCAGAGGCCTCGTTGTGATTGCTTTTGGTAAAGTGACATGATAAGCTTGACCGGGCCTTTAAGTGTTCGCTTTCATTTACTCCGTCATTACTGTAATCTCTGTTGTAACGGAGGCGAGAGGCCCGGGCTCTTACATTGGATTTATAATATTGATTTCTTTTCTTTTAGCCACCAGCTAAATCCCTCCTTCCAGAGGTGACGGTGCTCGACTACGGGAAGAAATGTGTTGTCATTGATCTGGACGAAACCCTGGTGCACAGTTCATTTAAGGTAAGCCCCACGTTCAGGGTTGCATGGGGGTCTTTGTGACTTCACCACCTCCGTGTAAAGAGAACGAGAGCGTGGCTGTGTGGGTGACTTCACTTCTCATGAAGAAGTCTCATGAACTCGGGGTTTGGGCTGGGCCTATCCCTGTAGCCCAGGTGAACATGAGCTCTCAGAGTTGAATTTGAACACGTTGTTTTTGGGAAGAAATTGCTGGGCTGCCGGTATCACTGAGGTCTCGGGGCTTCCTCGGGATCTAAGCCCTGTAGAAATGTTTTTAGGTTTAGGTGATACGGGCAATCAGTGCCCCGGGGTGTGATGTTTTTGAGGCACCCAGAACGCTACGCATTTTATGCAGTGGGGTGTTGCTGAAAACTGCCGGGTGCCCTGCTGTCCCGGTAACGTTCCCAGATTAATTTTTATGATGTCCAGCTCTCAGGAAGCCATATCCAAATGGCTGGGCCACTCATTCTGAGCATGCTCGTGCTGGGGTTTCTCGTGCCTACCTTCACAGCCCCTCTCAGTGGGTGATGAGCTGCAGCTCAGCTACGTCCAAGGGAATGCCAGAGGTCTTTCTGATCACTTTCCCCACTCCGTCCCACCACCAGGGCCTCCATACCTGAGCGGCAGTGGCTACATTATTAACACAGTGGATTAATTCACCCCTCCTCAAGTAGAAGAAATTGTTTTAAAGAGGCAGATGCTGACAGTGTTTGGTGCGTTGGGGAGAAGCAGTGGGTGGTTAGTTCTCGGCTCTGGCCTCCGTGGACTGTTCCTGTCAGTGAGGCTGCTCTGCCCTGGGACACCTCTTGCTTCACTGGGAGAGGGGACTGGCGGCACCTGAGATGGGCTGGGTGTCTCGCCGGAGCCCTTGTCATCCAGGCAGCCTATCAGGCCGGAAGAGCCGCCAGCTTTGCCTCGCACCCTCCTGCTGGAAGCCACATTGTGCCTTCTCACTGAGCAAACGGGACAAGGCCGGGAGGCCATCTCTGAGGGCTTTGAAGCCACATTGTGCCTTCTCACTGAGCAAACGGGACAAGGCCGGGAGGCCATCTCTGAGGGCTTTGAAGGTGGACAGCCTAGCAGTGAGGATGGCCCTCATTCTAACGGCTGAGGCTTGTAAGACCATCTCTTTACCCAGCATTCCCAGGGCTGGACTCCTCCAGGATTGGTCCTGGGGCCACAGTGGCCTTGAGTCCGAGCTCGGCTCTGAATGGCATCGCAGCATTTCCCCTTCTGTGAAACAAGTGGCCCAGGGCTTCAAGCCCTTCAGAGCGGGGGTCAGTGGCTGTCATCGCATAGAAGGCATCCTCCTAAGGAGCTCTGGACAAACTGCCCAAGATTACCCAGGGTTCCTGGCTCCGAGGCAGAGCCTTGGCTGCCCCACAGTCTCTGGACCCTGCTCAGAGGGCATGGCTGCCACACAGAATTTCCTCATCTTTAACTTTTTATTTGCCTATTTTTGTGTTAAGTGTGGGTGGATGTGTGCCGTGTGTGTGTGTGTGTGTGCCGTGTGTGTGTGTGTGTGTGTGTGTGTGTGTGTGTGTGTGTGTGTAAAGGTCAGAGTACCACCTTTATGGGCCAGGTCTTTCCTTACACTGTGGGTTTACGGGGATCAAAGTCGTATCTTGAGGCTTGCACAGCACTGAGCCGTGCGCCCTTGCTGCGCCATCTCACGGACTTGGACCAGAATACGTTTGCAAGTTGAATTACGATTTTTAATGTTCTGGGCATTTCAGAGTCTTTTGGGAAGGAGCGTGCTGCGAGCCCCCTGTGTGACACACGAGCTCAGGGACTCCATATGGAGAGCACTGGCTTTGGCATGGCCTCCATCCCCCAGCTCGAAAGCTCAGGGACCACACTTGTAAGCCAGGGCTGGTTTTCCTCTTACTTCACTGTGAGGAGTGTGATTTCATAACCCAAAGCGTCGACAGTTTCTTCTTCAGTCGTTTTTTTCTGTTTTTCATAACACAATGTTTCAGTGGTAAAATTATGAAACTTTGAATTTGTTCCTTGCTTTTTTACCCTGGGAACAGATAAACTATGGTCTTAAACCTCAGCAGCACCCCCACATCTGAGCGCTTAGTGGCGGGGTGACGGTCTATCACACTCCACATAGTGACAGAGTGACAGTCTAGCACACTCCACATAGTGATGGGTGACGGTCTATCACACTCCACATAGTGACAGTGACGTTCTAGCACACTCCACATAGTGACAGTGACGGTCTAGCACACTCCACATAGTGATGGGTGATGGTCTAGCACACTCCACATAGTGACAGTGATGGTCTATCACACTGCACAATGATGGGGTGATGGTCTAGCACAGTCCACGTTCTCCAGTTTCTATGTCAAGGGAGAGTGTGGTACATTGACGAACTTAAAGGCTGGCCCGGTTTACAGGCTGACCAGAGGTTCCACACACCCTCTCCACCCAGTCGCCACCCTGTGCCTCTGTCTCCCTGAGTCTCTCTTGCCCCTGGGATCTGCAGGCTGATGGTTCTTCTAGACCTGTTTGCTAATTTTTCTAGTCTCTGGAATTCTGTGCATAACTGCATATGAGCCTGTCATTGAGATGATGACTGCTAAAATAATAATTTAGTTTTCAAATGTGTCTAATACTACCCAAGAGTTATGCTAAATGCCTGTGAAGTTGTGGGTGAGTTGGGTTTTGTGTTTCTTAAAACAATGCAGCTGAGAAGCTGGCTGCCTTCCAATCCCAGAGCAAGAAACCAGGCCAGGCCACCAGGCAGGGCCTGAGGCTGCGGATGGAGCCAGGGGGACCCATCAGACCTCCACCGTAGCAGCTGGAGAGAGCAGACACTGAAGTCGGGAGGGGAGAGTCTGCCCAGGGTCCTGGCCTGGGGAACTGGCTTTCCGCCTCCCGTGGGTCGGTGCCCTGAGCATTCCCTGCCAAGCCGCCCATACTGTTAGTCCAAGGACAAATTGCTTTTCCAGCGGTACCGACACTGGCCAGCAGGCTCTCATCTCTGCCCCCTGGTGGCCATCAGCAGTTCCCCTCAGCCTGTCTGGGCCCCGGACCAAACTCCCCATTCTCTTGCCAGGGTGTGCCACCCTTTGTGGTTGGGGCAGGCAAGTGACCAAGAGGTTGGGCCAGGATGTTAAAACGCCGCAACACCCAGCGAGAAATGTGCCTTCTTGTGTGTGTTACGTCAAGGGCCCAAGGCATGTGCCAGCGCCCTCCTGAACTGTTTCCCGCAGTCATCAAAACATTGGTCCAGGCGAGCTTTTTGCTTGCTAAAATTTCCCATTTTCTTTTCCCGTTAGACGTATTAATCCTAGTTTCTTTTCTCTCTAGCCCATTAGCAATGCTGACTTCATCGTTCCGGTTGAAATCGATGGAACCATACACCAGGTAAGACATCGAAGCCACTTGGAGTTTGGGGAACATTTTCTTCTGGTAGCCACATTCCCTGTGAGCATCATTTCTAAATTCCCATCTCAGTGGTAAATTGTTCCAGCCGCAGGAAACAAATTTGGAATAGTAAATACAGTGAGCTGGGTGTGGCGGCAGAGGCAGGCAGATCTCTGTGAGTTCCAGGCCAGCCTGGGCTACAGAGCGAGTTCCAGTTCAGCCAGGACTACACAGAGAAACCCTGTCTCAAAAAAAAACGAAAGTAGAGTGAATGGCTTTCTACCTCACACACGTTTGTTTCATGAGGTTTACGAAGGACCTTTTCTGTTCATAAATGTTAGATGTGATTGTTCTTTGATTTGCTTTAGACTTTTGGGAGTTTCTATACTGCCCGCCCCCCTCCTGCTCAACATCTGGTTAATGTCCTCGTATGATTGGGCTACTCCTAACATGCAATGGGAAAATGCCTCCAGTCACCCACTTATGGGACATTCTTGGGAAGGGATGTCCCTTGGATGCCAGCGGCCACAGACTGATCTTGTCACGTGTGGTTTTTCTCCAGTGGCTCAAAGCAAAGGGGGAAGGGCAGTTAAGATCAGCAGGCTGCTACCAATAAAGACGTCATAGTCAGTTGGCATGAATCTTCTTCTGGTTTTTGTTTTTTCTTTGTCATCAGCGAGCTCTTCTGGCGATGGCTTCATTTATGAATACAGTAGAGGCGTGGTAGAAGAGCTAGTCTTGGAAGTTAAAGTGGACGTCCCTTAGGGCCACATGGGATGCTCTATCTTTATGGTGTCAATAAGGCCCCATATCAAAATGAGAATCCTGACTCCCAAGCCAGGACTCTCTTCCTTAGACTTGGCTCCGCCTGGCCCCACCTAGCCTTGCAGGAAGCGGGACCTGGGAGAAACGCTGTCTCCGCATTTCACGGAGCCATCGTAAAGCCAAAACTGCAGGCACCTGGGCATTTAGTATTTGCAGAGCACCCGCTGATTAACTTGGCACCGGACAGGCTGTTCGGACTTCTGCACTGAGTACTGTGGCCTGGGTTGCTGAGATCCTGAGATAGGGCGCGGGAGGGCTGCCCAGTGGCATGGAGAGAGAAATAACAATGCTCCCCCCACACCACGTGACTGCGGACATGTGCAACTCTGCTAGCCCCTTCTCTTTGGCAGTAGATACCCTGGGGACCCAGGGCTGACATGAGAAACGCCTAAGGGGAGGAAGCCACAGGCGCAAAAGCAAGAGGACGAAGGCCCTGGCGAAGGCCGTGGCCTCGTTCAAGTAATCCAGGATAGGCTGTGCAGGTCCCAAGGGGCCTATTCTTGGTTACTTGCACGGGGACGCGGGCCTGGACGCCGGCATCTGGGCCCAGGACCCTCCTTTCTGCCAAAGGCGCCAACGTCACAGTTCCCTGCAGTCTCCAGAATCTTTGCATGTACCCAAGTTCGCTGTCCAAGCAGTGCTCCCCTGCCAGGGATACAGGACCGGGGGCCACGCCCAGTCACTGGGATACAGGACCGGGGGCCACGCCCAGTCACTGGGATACAGGACTCGGGGCCACGCTCAGTCACTGGCACCCTCACCAAGGAGTGTTATGGGCGAGGGGCTCCTGGGGCTGCTGCAGCCACAGCTCTGTCCTCGGCCCCAGCCCAGCACCCAGCGCAGCAGGGTCCTATTGGTGCCGGGTCTCATACCCATTCCTCTGGCCTCACCCTCCGCCCTCAGCCGCAGAACCGGGGCCACAGTCCCACCCTGTCAGCCAGCCAGGCCTTTCCCACCAAGCACCGTTTTCTGGCTGCAAACGGTGGGAAATTTGTCACCTGCAGCGTGTTCTTACATGTGGTGCGGCATCCTCCGTGCCTCCCGCTCTGAAGCAGAGGTTCTCTCCTGCCGTCTGCTCCTAGAGGCCCTAGGTGCTCCCTGCCACCCAACTCTTCCCCTGCAGCTGCTTCCTCCCCTCTACAGCCTCCTGTCTTCCCTCACTGCCTGTGATTGGCTGGGCGCACGGCCAGCCCAACACCACACGTGTTGTCAAGGGCCCGGGTCTCATGCTTTGCACAGCTTAGAAGTTTGATTCTGACTCGTAGCATGAGAATTCCTATTCATCCTTCAAGGTCAAAGCCAGATGTGGCCCTCTCTCTGTGACTCCCCCCTCTGGAAAGGAAAACTAATTGCCTTTAATGTGCCCTCCCCCACGGTGAGTGTTGTTGTAGTCACTAATTTCTGTCAGTGTGAGCTCAAGGCTGAGAGCGGCCCAGCAGCCCACTCAGCCTGGTAGCAGCCGTACTGGTAGATATGCCGCACTTTAAAGAGATGGCTAACTCAAGTTTTCACCGGCCCCTCCCTCTTCCCACTTTAAAGAGACAGCTAACTTCAGCGGGATGTACCCAGGTTTTCACCCAGCGGGATGTACTCTAGTTTTCACCGGTCCCTCCCTCTTCCCACTTTAAAGAGATAGCTAACTTCAGCGGGAGGGATGTACCCAGGTTTTCACCGGTCCCTCCCTCTTCCCACTCCTCCTCCCTGGCTTTGCCTTCTCTGTCATCCCCAGTTCCCTCAGGCTCATTTCACCTCCAGAGACCGGAGTCTCTCTGCGTTAGCTGAAGACGCACTGCCCTGTGGTCCTGTCTGGCCTGACCCGAAGGGTGCACGGGGCCCAGCTGTGGGAAAGAGACGCCCTCACCTCTCTAAAGTACCGTCTGGGTTCCCACATGAACAGAGTAACCACCTCCATGGTGCTGAGTGGAAAGTTTCCAAGCTCCTTAACCCTAGGCCTTATGGGATGGGGATGGGAACCTTCAGAGTAGAAGGCAGCAGCCTGGCCTAGACTTCCGAAAGGACAGCACTTAGGCTGTGGCCTACATTCACATGGGGACTGACCCACAGTGGGACGCATGAGGGGCCTCACCTGACCATGGCACAGCCGCGCCCCACTCGCCAGCTCTGATGACCCCAGGATGGTTGATGTCGTGGTCAGCTTCCCTTTCTCTCTGTGAGGGCGGTCTACACCTGGAACCTACCTCCGACTCTCCAGTCCAAACCTCAGCAAACCACGCGTAGGCCTGGCAACGGGAGGAGGGTGTCCTGGGGCAGCCCCTCCCGAGGCCCAGGGCGTGTCCGGCCGCCTTGTGACCGACATGGCTTGTTATCTCCTCCCGCTGCAGGTGTACGTGCTGAAGCGCCCACACGTGGACGAGTTTCTCCAGAGGATGGGACAGCTCTTTGAGTGTGTGCTTTTTACTGCCAGCTTGGCCAAGGTGCGTCCTGCCCCTGCTGCAGACTCCCAGTCTTCGTCCCAACCCCTCCACCCTCCACCGCCCGCCCGCCCCCCCCAAGCTGCCAAGAGCCTTTTGTTAAGGTGGAGGAAGCTATTTTTACGGTGACAGGTTCCCACCCCAGATGGGATGGATGCAGGCCATGTGCACGCTGCCAGCCTGAAAGGCTTCTGGTTACCATGGTGACGGGGAGCATTTAGAACAAATGCTCCATGAAGTTGCTGTGTGCAGCCACCTGAAACCAGTTATCCACAGACGAAACCGCAAAGACCCATCTATTGTGACTACAGAAGGATGGCTGTACAACAGCGATGGCCGGGCGTCCCTCACCCACCGCCTGGCAGCCATAGATGTTAGAGGTCTCTGTGTCCTCAGGTTTAGTGGCCACAGGCTTATTTAGGGAGGAGCAAACAGACAGGTATCAAGTCTCACTTGCAGGCATGGGCTGATGAAGGTTCTGATTGGCTTGGGGGGCTACCTGGTTTCTGGTTGGCTTGGGGAGCTGCCTGGTTTCTGTCTGGCTTGGGGAGCTACATGGTTTCTGGTTGGCTTGGGGAGCTGCCTGGTTTCTGGTTGGCTTGGGGGGCTGCCTGGTGTCTGGTAAGTCCCCTACTTCTGGCACCTCCGTTTCCTCTTGTCTAACTGGGGCTGATTCCATCTGCTTGATGGGGCGGATTACACGAAATGGCCCTGCACAGCTACCAACTCCCGTTAGGCAGCCATTCATTGAGCCCTCACCGTCTTCTGCGCCCTGCTCCGGACCCTGTCACAGGGCAAGCATTCCTGATGTTCAGTGTATAGAGTCATAAGTGGTGGTGGTGTCATCCAGTCAGGGTTCGTGGGCACCATGCCGTGCCATGGGGCAGACAGAGCAGGCCCTAGCTCCTCCTCCCAGGTCTGCCAGCCGTGATCCTCACAGAGTCATGCATTCCGCTTGGTAGCACCGCCAGTGTCTCCATGGGCACCCTGGAAACTCTGAGTAGCCCCCCAAGATGAGTTCCGTGCTGTGCAGGTTAACCCTCTGTGTTCAGAACTCCTCCGAGAGCCACCAGCCGCTTCCTCCTTGGCGGTCTGCCTCAGACGACACCCACATTGCTTTGCATATTGAACCTTTGACCTCAAGTCCTCAGCTCTGCTCCTCTGGCTGGGCCATTCCTGTCTGGGTTCTGTTCTCTGCGTTGACCGAGGCGAGGGCCACCTGTATAGCCCTCTTCCAGTCTCATCAGCCGGCCTCAAGCTGAGGAGAGACCCCCCTCCCACACCTGGGCTTTATCCTCTTGTCCAAAAACACAGCAGGGCCTCAAGGAAGTAGTTTTCCCCAGTGGTGCCAACACTAATTATGTGCGCAGCGCCAACGATAGTCCTGATGCTGCTCTGGGATGCTAAAGAACTGAAGTAATAACCAGCCACATAGCAAGTGCGAGGATTGCATCGGCACTGGACCGAGGGCGGTTTTTCCTTGGCGAGATTGAAAACACCCCTCCTTGGCGTCATCCCCGGTGTTGGCCTAAACGTCCCTGTTTGTGCTGCGCTTCCTGAGCTGCTCCCTCCTGCCCCACCGGCTGCCTCTCTAGCTCTGCTCCAGTGTCACTCAGACCCCCAGAACCAGACCCAGCCCCCAGCACAGCCTTGTAGCTGTCCCAGCCCCGATGGCCGGGTTGTGCCGATGCATGGACTTTAGCTCGGCACTCAGCCTGCAGCACTTATGCGGTGGGTCTCCCTGCCCCCGCCAGGGCCTGCGGCATAGCCCACTGGCTCCCAGACTCTGTGACTCTCATTCAGTCTCCCTCCATGCCTGCTAGCGCACCTGGGACCCACAAGAGGAGATGAGGCCCTCCCCGCCGCAGGTGCCTGTAGGCTTCATCCTGATTTTGCAAACCTGGGTCCCCCAGACATTTCCCTAAGAGATGATGGACAGGAATGGAGAGAGAGCACTGGCTACTCTTGCAGAGGACCCAGGTTCAATGCTCACAACTCTCTGTAGCTCCAGTTCCAGGGGATCCAATGCCCTCTCCTGGCCTCTGTGGACGCTGCCCACATACGGTGCCCGTACATACACAGGTGCAAGCAAAACACTCATACACATAAAATAGAAACAAATCAATCTTTAAAAAAATAATATATGTTTTTTAAAGGATGATCACCACCACGTAAGGAGAAAATGGACCATCTGTTTCCATCCGGGTCAACCCTTTGTAGACTGCTGGCATGCCCCTTAGCCAGCTCCACCCAAACAATGCTCTGAGCTGCTCGGTCAGTAGGAGATGCAGCTGCCCCTAGCCCTGCCTCCCTCAGGATGTCCTTGGAGTGAAAGGGACTTTCCCACGGACCCAGCTGCAGTCCGTCTAGCACGGCCTTCATGAGTCAGCCTCGGGTGTCCGTTCCCTCCCTGGAGGGGTCGCCACCCCTGGGGGTTCCTGGCTGTGGGCCTCGCTGCTGAGTCCAGGCCTCAAGCGAGGCCTGCTGGACAACGCAGTGACAGGGTGTGCCGTGTGCCCTCCGGTGGCCGCTCTGACAGCTGTGAGGGAAGTAAACGGGCTGGGAGGGGAGGGCCAGCAGGAATAGGAGGCTCCCGGGCCAGGAGACCTGGTCCAGGAAGACGCGTTAGAACTGAAGAAATGAAGGTGAGAGATGGAACGACAGGAGCTCCCGAGGGGTTCGATGGGAGAGAGCTGTGGGAATGTAGTGCATTCTGATAGACTCGGAGAGGAAAACAACAGTCCTGAAATACCCCAATTATCCAGTCCTCCTCTTAGAGGTGGTCTCAGAGGCTGGTGAGATGGCTCAGTGTGCCCTGCCACGCAGGCCTGGCGATCCGAGTTGGATCCTGGAGCCCACTCATGTAAGGTTGGCGTCTGACTTCGGCATGCACGTTTTAAAGGAAAAGCATTAAGTCTGAGAAACGGGGACGATGGCTTGGCCGGTAAAACATTGCACAAGCCTCACTAGAATCTACGTAGAGCCAAGCGTGGAAGCCAGAGTGCCCCTGCAGGTCCAGCACGGGGGAGGCAGAGACAGGAGTTCCCTGGAGCTCACTGGCCAGCCAGTCTGGTTGAATCAAGAGCTGCCGGTGTAAGGAGAGACCCTGACTTAAAATATAAGGTTGGGGAGCAACAGAGAAGGACACTCGATGGTCGTGACCTCCCATGCATCCGTGCATGCAAGTACACACATACGAACCAAACAAGGAGTAACCCTAGCTAGTTTCTTACAGAGCCACAGATCTGCTGCCTCATAATTCTGTCCACTTCGCTGAATTGCTCAGAAGAGTGGGCCTTTCTCCCTCCTTCCTCCCTCTTTCCTCCTGCCTTAACACTTATGCCCCCCTTCTCTCTGAAGCTCCCCCACCCTCACCCCTACCCTCCATTCAGCTACCTCCCTCCTTGTGGCTTTTTTTAACCGTTTTTTTCTCCAGTCTCCTCTGGACAATGGCCAAAATTTACAGCTTGCCAGACCTGTGGTTTTTCTTTCCAAATCTAATAAAACACACCAAGACAGAAAGTCAGAGCCTGGTGTCATGACTCACGCCTGTGATCTCAGCACCCTGAAGACTGTGACTCAGGAGGACCCCCTCCCCCGCCCCCCAAGGGGACGGTGTGTCTTGGTGTGGCCGGTGCATTTCTGGCTCTTTCGGCTGCCTGACCTTCACTGGGACTCTGTTGCAGTATGCAGACCCCGTGGCTGACCTCCTGGACCGCTGGGGCGTGTTCCGGGCCCGACTCTTCAGGGAATCCTGTGTTTTCCATCGTGGGAACTACGTGAAGGACCTGAGCCGCCTGGGCCGGGAGCTGAGCAAAGTGATCATCGTGGACAATTCCCCTGCCTCCTACATCTTCCATCCGGAGAACGCAGTAAGTAGCCCCAAAGAATGAGCGTGGGACGCCGTCTGGCTCTGACCTGCCACTCAGGAACCGCTCCTGAACACCTGCACAAGGAGGCGCTCTGCGGTCTTTGGTTTTTTTGAGACAGAGTTTCTCTGTGTAGCCCTGGCTGTCCTGGGACTTGTTCTGTAGACCAGGCTAGCCTCGAGCTCTGAGATCCACCTGCGTCTGCCTCCTGAGTGCTGGGATTAGAGGTGTGCGCCACCACTACTCAGCCATACATACCCTTTTAAAGTCTAGAACTCTATAGCTCTACTCATTATAAGGGGGAAAGAAACTATATTCGGTTAAAAAGTAAAAACAGTTAAACTGCCTTGCAGTTAAATATGTTCACGTTGCCAGGTGTGGTGGTACACCCCTTTGATCCCTGCACTCTGAAAGCAGATGATCTCTGTGAGTTGGAGGTCAGCCTAGCCCACATAAAGAGTTTCAGGCTAGCCAGGACTACATAATGAGACCCTCTGAATAAGTAAATAGGCTCATGTTAATAAGTCAGTCAAATTCCACCTAACGCCCCAGGCAGTTGTCTCCAGCAGAGAGGGACCTGTCCACGGCTGTCATAGTTCCCTCCCATGCACCACACAGACATCTTTTTTGTTTTGTTTTGTTTTTTGTTTTTTGTTTTTCGAAACAGGGTAACAGGGTTTCCCTGTGGCTTTGGAGGCTGTCCTGGAACTCACTCTGTAGACCAGACTGGCCTCGAACTCACAGAGATCCGCCTGCCTCTGCCTCCCGAGTGCTGGGATTAAAGGCGTGCGCCACCAATGCCCAGCTACAGACATCTCTTGTATTAGCTACTGTACACGCTGTCGTCTTGACGAGTTCCCTTGGATTTGAACTGTTGAAGTCAGGATCTAAGGAAGGTCCATGTGTTGCTTCATTGAACATGCCTCTGTTCTACTAAACATCTCTTCCCATTGTTTCTTCTCTATCATTTATTCCTGGAAAGTTTGCTGGAGCTTTCTACCGTCTGTATTTGTCTAGTCGTTGGTAATGTATGTTTTCCAGCTCCTTCAGACAAGCAAGTAGTCTGCTATTTGATTAGACTTAAATTTTTTTCTTTCTTATAGTTTTATTTTTAATTACCTGTTTGTATGAGAGAGAGAGTGCACATGAGTGTAATACCTGTGGAGTCCAGAAGAGGGCATTGGATCCCCTGGAGCTGGTGGTCTTTCAGGTGGATGTGAGCTGCCTGATGTGGGTGTTGGGAACTGAACTCAAACAGGTCCTCTGCAAGAGAGCAGTACATGGATACCTGGCATTGGTGGCGCACGCCTTTAATCCCAGCACTCGGGAGGCAGAGGCAGGCGGATCTCTGTAAGTCTGAGCCAGCCTAGTCTACAGAGCGAGTTCCAGGACAGCCTCCCCACAGAGAGACCCTGCCTTGAAAAACAGAGAGGAGGGAGGGAGAAGGCAAGTACATGGTGCTCCCAGCCACCCAGCCATCTCTAGCCCCACTTTTAATCTCTAAGGAATTTACTTTTATTTACACTCATGCAGCACCCACAGAAACCAGAAGAGCCTGATGGATCCCTGGAGCGGGGGTTGCAGGAGGTCACAAGTCACCTCATGTGGGTGCTGGGAACCAAACTCGGGTCTTTTAGAAGAGCAGCCAAATGTCTTAGTGGCTGAGCCATCTCTCCGGGTCCTTCTCTTTTCTTTTCTAACAAGAGTATGGCATGGGTGGGGCCGTTGACATGGTTTTGTTGATAGAGCACTTAGCTGGCATGACTGGGGCCCTGGGTTCAATCCCAGGACTGAAGGTGAGTAAGAAAATATCTTCTGGTTTCCTCACTTTCCTTTTTTTTCTTTTCTTTCTTTTTTTTTTTAAGATTTATTTATTATGTATACAGTGTTCTGCCTCCAGGTCAGAAGAGGGCACCAGATCTCATTACAGATGGTTGTGAGCCACCATGTATGTGGTTGCTGGGAATTGAACTCAGGACCTCTGGAAGAGCAGTCAGTGCTCTCATCCTCTGAGCCATCTCTCCAGCCCCCTCACTTTTCTTTTTGAATGTCTTCTTTGAACTTCTAGTCGCTCTCCACTCCCCCTTCTCCCTCCTCCCCTACTGAAAGCTGAAGGGAGGCCCCTCTTTGCCGTAGCTTCTGAATGCCCTAAGACTGGACATTTCCACGTTTACCTGGTGACGGCTAACCCTGGGCGGGGACTCTCCTTGTCTTTGACACACAGCTTAGAGCAGCGGCCCTGAGCGTGGTGTGGACCAGTGTGCCTGGCTTGGGCTCTGTGTTGGCAGGTAACCTCTGAGAGGCATCGAGGGCTGTCCCTGGCAGTGGGCCAATTCAGTGCCATAAAAAGAGCTTTGGAGATGGGCTCCTTCAGCAGGAGCGCTAGAAGGGGCAAACTGGCGCACGCTGGGGACCCCCTGCCTCACTGAGCCGTCTTCTGCGCCTGTGTCAGCCTGCTTCAGTCAGCTCTGCCACTAACTCTGAGCTAACTGTGCTTGGTACTGAACGAAGGGACAACGTGACGGTGTCACCCTTGGGTCCCGTTCTGCTGCCTCCTGACACGCTGTCTTACAGGTGCCTGTGCAGTCCTGGTTCGATGACATGACGGACACGGAGCTGCTGGACCTCATCCCGTTCTTCGAGGGCCTGAGCAGGGAGGATGACGTATACAGCATGCTGCATAGACTCTGCAGCAGGTAGCCCCGGCCTCGGGGCCTCGGGGCTCTGCCGTCCCCACCTCTGCATTCGGGAGCCCCCGGCTCAGGGGACCCTCCCGGCCTCGGCTCCTCGAGAGCAGCCTGAGAAGACTCCATGCTCTGGGCCACAGGGTGAATGTCGCCATGCCTACCTGTTTTGTTTTGGTTTTTTTTTTTAAGAACAGAAACAACTATTTTAAAGAAAAAAAAACTCTTTTAATAGATTTCATAAAAGGACATGCATTTTACCAGATTCGATTTTCTTAAAACATACCAAAAAGGAAAAAAAAAAACACCTTGGTATCTTTCAGATGTCCTTTCAACTGTCCTCCCTCTAAGAGACAGCCTGTCCCCTTTGTCCCGGTTTGGAGCAGCTGGCCCAACTCAGAATCTTTCCTACAGGATGAAGTGCCTTTTTGAATGTTATTTTAAGCTGAGAGTTAATTTTTGTATACAACCTATTTCCAGACATCTTTTAGTCTTTTACTGTCTTAGGTACTCTAAGACGACAAACAGGACAATTTTCTAGAACCTGGTAGCCTGTGTGCGGTGGGGTGAGGGTGTGGCCAGGGAGGAAGCGGCCACAGGAGCCTGCCTCCCAACAGGTGCAACCGTCAGCCTGTGGCATGGGCGGGGTCCCGCTCCCACTGACCGGGGTTTTCTCGAGATTGTCACTGTCCCTACTCGTTTCTGGCCGATTCGGAGTGTACCTGCCAATGGCCCGACGCTTTGTGAGACATCCGATTCCTTTCAGTATGATTTCTGATGTTGACAAAGTTTGTCTTGAGGTTGCATTTTCCCCTTGAACGGTGACCTTACGTCGCTCTGCTTTCCCGCAACTGTCTCGTCTGTCCAATGTTTTTCTGTTGTCATTGGTTTGAGGAGAATAGTTACAGAAAACCCTAAAACCCTTGGACTGTCCAGCCTTCCCTTCGGGAAGCTGGGTACACATGGAGCTGTTGGGGACTCTGCTGCTACCGCGCTGCCACCAAATGGAACTGACCAGCGGCTGCTACACTGTTCTTCGCCGTCGTGCCTGCGTTCAGAATACGCTCACCGCTAAACTGCACACTTGGACAGGGTCAGAAACAGGTGCCCCGCCCGACCCACCAAGCCCGGCACCAACTGTCTCCCTTCCTTGGCCCTGGCCACCAAGAATGTCGAAGGGCGCAAGGTTTTAAAAAAATAAAAAATAAACCAAGGGTCAGAGCGCCGCTCGGACATGGCATTCCCCTGGCGCTGCAGTTGACACGGGAGCCTGTGGTGGAGCTCTCCAGTCTCGCTTGAGAGCCCATGGCCTCATCCAGCCGAACGCCACTCTGGTGTGGCCCAAGTCCGTCTCCGCCTCTTTGGAAGCGCAGCCTCTTCTAGCCAAGGGTTGGAGAAGCCTGTCTAAATGGGAGACCCGCTCCTCCCCGGAGCCCGGCCGGGGGTCTCTTTCCGGGCGGTTCCCCGTTTGGTGTTTAGCAGTGCTGCGTTTCGTCCTAAGAATGAAGAGTCCCGTGTGTCGGCACCGTTGCCTTAGTCCTCTGTGGGTTGGGCCTCAGCCGGATTTCTGCTGGGAGTAGTTGGCACTAACAAGACTCAAAAATCAGGGGTCAAAATTACACAAGAAAACAAAAAAATGTTTTTCTTTCACAAAACAACGAAGCCAGCTACCTGGCCTGTCTTCCCACAGTGCTTTGGTCTGGGAAACCACTGCATTCAGAGCAGAAATGTGGAGGAATCATCAGATCTCCTGACCTTCTGAGTGTTCCAAACCCAACAATCCCTGTGCCAATTACAGTAGAAACTGCCCGTTTGCTAAGAATCACCACAGATAGCAACAGTTCCACGGCCGATCCGCTCACGCCGTGAACCCTCATGGAAACCAGTCATTAGCCAAGCCCGCTGCCTCAGTGTCTTGGGTGTTGCAGTGTCTGCTGTGTGCTGATTTCCTGGATGAGAACCTCAGACCATCGCCTGTGCCTCTTAAGTGTGCTGGTGTCGCCGGCCTTATTTGGAAAAGGGGGCAGAATGGACTGAAATTCCAGAATGTTTCAGAGGAAGCGAGCCTAGAAATAGTGCTTCGCTTCAGACGGGTTCGAGGCCGACCTTGGCCTTAGAGTTCTGGAGCTGCATGTGTCTGTGCTCTCGGGGCACAGCTTCCGGGCTGGGAGCCCTGTTCTTGCCACCACAAACATGGAATGTCCCGCCCCGGTGAGGGTTCTGAAATCCACACCTTATTTGACCAAGCTCCAAAATGCCAATTTTTCTTTCTTTAAAAAAAAAAACCTGCTTTATGTACATAATTGAAAAAAAATCTATTTTTTAATCAGTTACTTGTAAATGAAGCAATAGAATTCTAACAAGGCCAAGAAAGGAGACGAATGTGTGAGGTTTATTTTCTTAAGGTAAATACGGGTATTGCTTTTAATTTAGTTTATTATAAAGTGTGGGCTTGAAAACTCATCAGCCACTTCTGTGTGCCATATCCTTCCCACGCCACCAAAACCCTCCATCTCCTTAGCCAAAAGAAGCTTCTGACCTCCTGCGCCCCATGGTCCTCTCGACCCCACGTCAGGACCGCCCTCTTGACAAGTGCTTTTGACATGACGGTCTGGGACAGGATGACTTGGGGCTGTGGACTCCAGCCTACACCTTTTGCATGACCTCGAGTGGGCACCCCTGACCCCTGGTGATGTTAGTGCTCCGTCTTCCATCTGTTCTGGAATCCTCCATGTTGGTCTGTGGTTTCATGCACTAGCTGTTTGTAAACGGCGCATTTGTGCCTGTCACCGTTGACGTGGTGCGGTGTTGATGAGGCTGGGGACATGAGGATGTCCACATGACACTAACTCGTCGTGGTTACGGCATTTGAAGTTGGGGTACGGAATGAAACCTGTAAGTGTGTATAGCCTGGCAGCGGCGTTTTACAGCCCTGTAAAAGATGACTTTCTAATAAAATCTAGAAACACACAGCCCTGTTGGTCAAACACTCGTGACGTTTGTGCCTCTGCTTCTAATGGTGCTGTGATGGACAGCTGGCACGCCAGGGGTTGAGAAGAGCAGGTGGCCTACTGTGCGCGTGCGCGAGGTTCCCTGTGGATGGCCTACTGTGCACGCGCGGCTCCCTGTGCAACCTTGCTGTCTGCCTCTGCTCCTGTCTTACTCGATCTGACCATGTCTATCCCTGGAGCTGCCCTGAGGATGGGTACCCAGCAGTGGTAATGTTGGTATTGAGGGAGTTGTGTTTTTCTGCTGGGTGTTTGAATGCCATGATCCAGCGCTGCTTGGGAAATACTACACGTGGGCTGTACACGGTTCTGAGGGCAAAGTATTGTCAATCACTATTTCCCTCCTGCCAAAAATAAACTCATGAAACTGCACTGTCTCGTGGTTGCCCTGCTTCTCCAGATGACCGGCGTGTTGTGGGGTTTTTATTATTATTGTTGTTGTTTTTTCCTTCCCCTACGTACCACACCCTCCTGCTGACTGGACTTCGAGCTTGTTCCCACTCCTGAAGAGCAGGGTGGACGGCAGCAGGGCTGCGGGACTCAGTGCCAGAGTTCTTGACCCCTGGGGTAAGCTAGGAAACCATCCCACCCATAATTTGAAAAGTGACAGCTCCTGGGCCCTCTGGACATAAGTCGGGTCCTGTGGGTGTCGGGGGAACGCCTTCACCCTCCCATGTGAGGACCCCAGCCCTACCAGCAGGACTTTGGGATTCATGGGGGGGGTCCTGGGTGCTTGCCCTGCAGAGAGCGGTCACTGACTTACGGTTCTGACTCCTGGCCTGCTCCTGGCCTGTCCGCTCCCCTTTGCTCCCTAGTCCTCTCTGCTAGCGCCTCCTCTGCTGTTTTGCACCTCACATACTTGGGCTCGTGGCAGCCCCTGGCTGAGGCAGCCTAGCAAGGGCCCAGGCAGGTGGAAAGGAGCCCGTCATGTCATCAGGAGGACACTTAACCGGGACTTGGGCTCCCCGAAATGTGCCCTGCCTGGTCTCTTCTGATTATGACAAGAATGGGAGGGAGGGAGCAGAGGTAGAAGGGACAGCCTGGGGACAGCAGCAGGCTAGCTGACAGTCGGTGAGCTAAGGGACAGGTTGCCAGGGTCTCTGAACTATGCAGGTGTGTTCATTTCCCTTGCTGGAGAGAGCTGCAAACCAACAGGATGCCCATAGCCCAGACGCTCTAAAGAGTGAGACACCAGGCTAAGCCCAGAACAGGCTGGACCCTCAGGCTGTGAGACAGATCCTGCAAGGGTGGGACAGTGTTCTGCTCCAAGCTGTGTCTTAGCTACGTCCCCTCACCACTATGAGCAGGGTAGCGGTGAGGCAGCTTCCCCTTGCAGGACCCATGATTCCCCTGTCCTGAGTCCCTGACACCCACAGGACACAACTCCCAGGTAGTGCCTGCCTTGGGGACTTAGTCACTTCTGTTTACTAGATGTGAGCGCCCAGCAGCCCACGGCTGCCCACAGCAGGGCCAGGGGTCAGGGTGGAAGGGACAAGAATCAGGGTGCCTCCAAGCACTCCAAGTTGTCGGCAGAACCAGTCAGGTGACTCTCCCATGCACCCACCCTCTCCTGCAGGAGAGGGACACCCGGGGAGATTCCACAGCAACCCTGGGGAGACAGAGTACCTGGGAGCAGCACCTGAGGGGTGGGGCCGGGCCCTACGACGCTCCCTCACCTAGGTCAATATTGACATGGAGAAGGCAGGGCCCTGGGAGATAATCTGGCAGAACATAGTAACCCCAAACCCCTGGAAACCTACAGGTTGTGGTTACGGGGCTCCCTGGGCCAGAAGTGCGTGGGATGAGGAATTTACCAGACAGTGCAGCCAGGGAAAGTCCAGCTCAGTCAGACCCCAGACTGACAGCTAAGGACTGGCATGGGTATGTCCGCGGGGTGGGGGTGGGGTGGTAGTCAAACCGGGAAGTGGACTGGAACCCCTGTCCCTCAGTATAACCCACCCATGTCTCAGTCTCTGCCACAAGAGATGACCCAGACCACACACCGAGAGTCAGGTCCTATCTGCCTGTCATGCCTTCAGGCTCTGCGACCACAGGTCACAGGGTAGGGGATGGGGAGGGGCATGTCTGGGGTAGGATGTTTTTGCCCAGGCAGTGACCCTCATCTGGGTCCTGGGGACACAAAAAATTTTGAGAAGTGCTTTTAGAGGAGCCTCCTGTGTCTACCATTAAGCTGCTGAGGCTGGATTGTCCTAGGTGGGGTGTACTTCCCAAACTGGGCAGCTGGTGGGGGGGGGGTGCAGATCACCCCTTGGGAAAGAAATGTCAGCTCATTAAAAAAAAGAAAAGCCTGAGGTACCTAAGCTCCATCACCAGGGGGCGCCAGAGTAATGGCAGAGACCAACGGTGGAGAAAATTCCATGCCCTGAGACTTCCATACAGAGCGCACACTTGCTTACACACACACACACACACACACACACACCATACCTCATGGGACCAGGCACAAGTCACAGCAACACACAATCTGAGTAACTGTAGTATGTCAGCCGCCACCCTGGAAGACAGCAGTGCCGGGGCCTTGACCTCAAGGGGCCCACATTGCCCCTGGAGAAGGGCCCGACCAGCTAAGTTCCAGTGGAGGGCAGGAAGCAGGGAGCAAGGAAGGGCTAGGGCAGGAGGCTGCTCCCCTGTGGGCCATGGTGTTTGGTCAGGACGCTAAGATCTAGATTCAGAAGAGGGGCAGAGAGTGGCCCTGGGCAGGTGGACCTGGGGAGAGGACACCAGGCAGAGGAGCTGTATGAGGGCGTGGCGAGCAGAACCTGCTGGGCGGCTTCACAGAAAGCCCCGCACAGCTAGACATCCTGAGCAATGGAGGGAGTAGCCAGACGTGCAGCTGGAGGGAGGCCCAGACGTGCAGCTGGAGGGAGTAGCCAGATGTGCAGCTGGAGGGAGTAGCCAGATGTGCAGCTGGAGGGAGTAGCCAGATGTGCAGCTGGAGGGAGGCCCAGATGTGCAGCTGGAGGGAAGCCCAGATGTGCAGCTGGAGGGAGGCCCAGATGTGCAGCTGGAGGGAGGCCCAGATGTGCAGCTGGAGGGAGGCCCAGATGTGCAGCTGGAGGGAGACCCAGATGTGCAGCTGGAGGGAGACCCAGGTACGTGGGCCTCTCCTACCTTGCTCTAGCATCAAAGGCTTGGGGACATCCGAAAGAGTTGGGGAGTGTTGCTTAAAGAGTATTTAGTTTATAGGGTGTTAGTTCCAGTTTTGTGTGTGTGTGTCTGTGTGTGTGAGTGTGTTTTAGTGTGTGTGAGTGTGTGTCTGTGAGTGTCTGTAAGTGTGTGAGTGTGTGTGTTTGTGTCTCTGTCTGTGAGTGTGTGTGAGTGTGTCTCTGTGTGTGAGTGTGTGTGTGTGTGAGTGTGTGTCTGTCTATTTGGGGGAACGGGGGGGGGTGGCATGTGCACAGGTACAGTTGCCCTTGTGGCGGCCAGAGGCTGATACCCAGATGGACTCCTCAGTCACGTCCCGACCTTAGTCTTTGAGACAGAATCTCTCACTGAACCTGGGGCTCACCTAGGATCCTCCTGGACCCCCCACAGTACCCCCAGTCTCAGTGCTGGGCCACGCGTGTGTGCACCGCACTCGGCCTTTATGTGGGTGCTGGGAATCCAGACTCAGTTCTCCAGGCTTGTGCAGTAAACGCTCTACCTCCCAGAAACCTCCTCAGCCACATAAACGGGGAGGTAGAGATGTGTGTGAATGACGGTGATGGCCAGGGTCCCCAGGTCTCAGAAATATACACTAAAAAAATCGCAGCACTCAGGAGGCAGAGGTTGGTGGATCTCTGTGAGTTCCAGGCCAGCCTGGTTGACACAGTGAGACTGTTTCAAAGATAAACAATACCTGGTAAATATTTTTGTTTTGTTGTATGAGACAGGGTCCTGGGTAGCCCACACTAGCCTGGGACCTGCAATCCTCCTGCCTCCACCTCCCCCGTGCTGTGATTATAGGTAGGTGCCTCTATACCCTAGAATGCTTTAAAAAATAATAAAAATTTGCAATGCAATATGTTGTGTAAGAGTTCATTCATGTATACAATGTCTTTTGATCATATTCTGCCCCTACTCACCCACCTAACTCCTCCCAAACTCGCTGCCACACCCACCGAGCCCAATAGGATGACAGACTTGAAGTATTCAGTTACGTTTTCGTGTCTACAGGTCTCACAGCTGTGGACTTCATCAACTTGAATAAAAAGACATGAGGGAAGGCTATGATTACTAAACGTGTTTAGACTGCTTTTCTTGCCTGTCCCCTGGGTGTGACAATTGCATCCAGTGTTGCACTGTTTTAAGTATTAAAAGTGACCTAGATGTGATTGAAAGACTGCGAAAGGGTGTGAGGGATGCAGGTAAATACTAGCTAACCGTCTTGTGTGAGGCCAAAGCAGCCTTTGACTTTGATATCCATGGAGAGCATGATTAACCATCTTACAGATATCAAGGCATGGCTGCATTCCACCATAACCTTTTAAACTATGGAGGGGACTAAAAGGCAGACATACTGGCACTCCTGTAACCAGAGCATTCTGAGACTGAAGCAGGAGTACCACACGTATGTAGCAGGTCTTTCTTTGGACCAACAACTCTCAAATAATTACACGGAGACTTCTCATGAATTATGAAAGCTTGGCCTTAGCTTAGGCTTGCTCCCAACCAGCTCTTATAACTTACATTAACCCACTTATATTAACCTATGTTCTGCCATATGGCTCTTACTTCTCCTCCATACTGTCGATCCAAACTCCTCATCTGATTGGCAAATTCCTTCTCTCTTCTTCCCAGAGTTCTTATCTCTTCCCAGAAGACCCACCTATCCTCTCCTGCATAGCTATTGGGCAGTCAGCTCTTTTTAAAAACCAATCAGCAGGTGCCTTGACAGAGACGTCTTCACAGTGTACAAGATTATCCCACAACACAGGTATGAGACCAAACTGGGCTATATATGGAGACGATGTCTCGAGAAAAAGAAAGAAGAAAGGAAGGAGGAAGGAGGGAGGAAGGAAGGGAGGAAGGAAGGGAACAAGCCAGGTATGGTGGTGAACTCCTGTGATCACAGCATTTGAGTGGTGGAAGGAGAATCAGTAAGCAGTTCAGGGCCATCCTCAGCTACATAGTGAGTTCAAGGTCAGCCTGGGGGTAAATGAAACCCTGTTTTAGAAAAAAATGAAACAAAAAGGGACTACAAGACATCTAAGTGAGCGGGTAAAGAGGCTTGCCATGGAGCCTAATGGCTTGAGTCTGATCCATCGGGACCCACATAGTAGGAGGAAAGTGTCTACACACACACACACGTACACGTACACATGAACACACACGTATACACACACACACACACGCGTGCGCGCGCGCACACACACACAATGTAATAAAGAGCGAACCAAAGTCCTGCTGGCTGATGTGAGAGGGGAGGATGCAGGGCCAGGGAGGCCACCACAGAGTGTGATTCATGTCACCAACTGGTCAAAGCTGGTTCCCAGAGCAGGGCAATGGTCAGGAAGCCATGTGACTGCCCAGTTCAGTAAGGAGACTGAGTCTAGGTGTGGGGACGGGGGCAGCGGAGACACCAGGGGTCCCTGGTGCTTTTTAACTTTGAGCCTGGAACTTGGAAGAAAAGTAGCAAATTAAGAGAGGCTGTGGAACGCCGGACAGTGGCGGCACACGCCTTTAATCCCAGCACTCGGGAGGCAGAGGCAGGTGGATCTCTGTGAGTTCGAGGCCAGCCTGGTCTACAGAGCGAGTTCCAGGACAGTCTCCAAAGCCACAGAGAAACCCTGTCTCGAAAAACCAAAAAAAAAAAAAATACAAAAAGAGGGGCTGTGGCCTGAGATCCCAAAGAGACACATGGAGAGAGGAAGGGGAAGGTGGTGACAGAACCAGCTGCCCTGGCAACGTGGAAGTGCGGGGACAGGGACCAGCAGATTGGTACGAAGGACACAGAAGGAGTGAAATCACGGGACACGACCGTCAGTCGCAGGTGGAGCCCGACACGAGCAGACCCAGGCGTGCCGTGACCACGGTGACTCAGACACAGAGCTAAACGCGCCTGGTGACACAGGTGCCCCTTCACACACAGGTTAGATGTGCCCAGCATGGTGGCACACATCTGTGACCCCAGCACTCAGGAGACTGAGGCAGGAAGTAGAGCGGGGTGTGTCCTGGGCATTTCTAGAGGGTTCCGTTCCCAGCATTTCGTATCCCATCAGAAGTCACAGGGGGGCAGCCAGGGTGTGGAAGAGATTTCTCTGCTGCAGATTCCCACGATGGGTATCAAGGCTCCCTGGGGAGAGCTCTGCTGGGCAGCCAGCCCGAGATGGAGGTAGGGAGTGGGAGGTGCCCGGAGGCATCCCTGGCTATTTCCTTCTCCTCCTAAAGTGACCTTGATATCACAGATTCACCACAGTGGCCTGAACCCCTGGATCCAAAAGGGGCGGGGTGGGGGTGAGGGTGTTGTTGCCCATCTGAGCTCCCAAGAATAGAAATCAGGATTTTCCTTCTCTACCCCACTGGTCCCCACGAAGTGAGTCTACCAGGCCATGGGAAGGGGGCTGGCTCCCAGGCGGCTTGGTCAATATTTATTGACTGACTAAGTCTGAATGCCCAGTCCACGCTGCACAGAGCACCAGGGTGTGTCCCGTAAGGCAGGAGCTGGGGTTGAGTTACAGTTAGGAGGGAGGGGCAATGGGTAGAGCCTGGTCTCCTGCCAGGTCTCGCACTGCCCAGAGCAGGGTGGAGGCAGGAGCAGGAGCAGTTCCCAGAAGGTAGGCCTGGGCTGGAGGGGGCCTTGGGAACCGGCCGGGGGCAGAGGGGCTGCCCAGAACAGTGGGGCATGGCGGTCCAGGACGTGGGGTCACCCAGAAGGACTGAAGGCTGGCAGGACCGAGGCGTCCCACGGTGAGGACACTGGGTGTAAGGGAAGCCACTGTGGCGAGCCAGTGTGAGAGGAGGAAGGGGCAGCTTGCATGGGAGTGGGACCTCTGTTACCCCCACGGCCGGCTTCCCTGACTCCCCACCCCTCCAGCAGGCTGCGCCCTGCCTCCTGGAAGTTAAGCAAAGAAACCTCAGGGTTTACCCCCAGGTATTCAAGGAGGAAAGTGAGTGGGGGTGGGAGCTCCTGAGGAGGAGGGAACACCTGGGAGGGAGGAGGAACGTCCCGGGAGAGAAGCCGGCAGATGAGATCAGCCTCTGCAGTGGGGTAGAGACCTGGGGGAGGGGTGAAGAGGGAAACCAGTGACCCTGGGGGAAAGGTTTTGCCCGGGAGGGGGGGTCAGAGAGCATGGATGACAACCCCTCTGGGGATGTGCCGGAAGGGAAAAGGGGACATCCAGGTGTGGGGGCCACAGGTGACCCTCCCGAAGGAGGTGCCTTGGGGAAACACGGGGTGTTGACAGAATAAAGGGACCCTGCACTTTAAAGGTCTCCCTCATCTGCCCTAGCAACAGGGATGTGGGTTCCGCCTCAGGTTGCCGCTATGGGTGCCTTCCAAGCCACCCACCCTTGGGGCGGCGCTGCCCCTCCCACCGAAGGCGGCTTAGACACTACTTCCCACTGCCGGTCTGCCTCTCCTCTCCTCTGTGGCCCAGGCTGGGCAGTGATCTTCCCACCGCACGGTGGCCCCCAGGGTTACACGAGCTGGGTGCCTTCCAGCTCTCTTCTGCCTGGGCCTCTGCCTATCTGGGTCCCCTGGTCACTCTCCTGCCACCGGTTTTGCATATAGACTCAGTGCCTTTGCTGAAGGGTCCTGTCGCACGTCGCACAATGACTACAACAGCCGGAGGTGCTGTTAGCACGCCTGGTGGCTCCCTTCCGCGTGTGTCTTAGCCAAGCCTCGGTCAATCAGCAACTCTCTATAAATTTGTCCCGTTCCACGTTGGGAGACCCAGACCCGGGCATGACTCCCCCAGGGCGCAGGAGGCGCGGGCACTGTACTGTGCATGGCTTCCATTAACCCCTCAGCCCACAGCCTCCGCTGGTATGGCTCAGCAGGGACAGCCCCCTGCCCCACCGCCTTTCCAGGACACCTTTGTCCTGTGCCCAGCCCTGGGGGCCCTAGACAAGGGAACATAGACTGTGAGCCACCACCACCACCAGGCCACCACCACCAGGCCACCACCACCAGGCCACCACCACCAGGCCACCACCACCAGGCCACCCACCGATGGGTCTGCAGCTCTCTTACCTCGCCTGTCCCTCTCCCCTGCCACACAGGGCAGCAGATCCTAGAGTCTCTTGCTGTTGATGGGGTAAGGCTGGGATGCCCCTTCAAGAGGAAGGAAGTCACCGCTGCACCAGGGCAACCCCTGTGAGAAACTCCGAACCCAGTGGCTGTGTCTGCCTGTTGAGCAGCCGTGAGGAGAGGCAGCCGCCAGGACTTCAGTTAGACGAGGAAAGTTACACTGAGGAATAGCAGAAACGTCCCCTGCATGCCTGTAGAACCCATGACTGTCCGAGGTTTCCAAAGAGGCAGTGCAGGGAAGCCTCGGCCAGCTGAATGTGAGCGGACAGTGTTGGCAGCACGCCTTCTGTAGCGTCTCTCCTCTCCACAGTCAGAATTACGGAGCGGACCCCAGCACGCCCAGTGGCTGTGTGCAGAGCCTGTGTGCACATTCAGCCCCCTCTCAAGGCTGGATCGGGAAAACATAGGCTTCATTGGCCCAGCCTTCTCCGGTCGCCCGAGCCTGCCTCTTGCTGCAGAATCTGCCACAGGCGTGTGTAGAGTCTCCGCGCTGAGTTGACAGAACGTTTTGTCTTGTTGGTCGTACCTGTAAAGCCGGTACCTGTGTTCACTCTAGATGTCTCTCCACAGTTCCCCTCACTCCCTGGGTGTGAGATTCACTTTTATTCCGGATGCTGACATGCACGCGCGCACAGCTGTACGATGCAGTCCAAACCTCTGTCTAGGTGTCTGTCTGCAAAGATTTGTCTGCTTGTGGTGCCTGCCTCTGTCTAGGAACATCTGTTTCCTCCACAGTAATATTACCAGAACGTTGACGGGCAGTGCTTAATCCCTGAGGGTCCTGCAAGCTAGGCTCAGCCGCCCTTCCTCACAGGCTAACCAGACAGATAATAACGAAAGGGCAGGAAGGAAACTTAACCGATGTGGTCACATTGAGAACAGATAGGGGTCCAGTGACCACCACAACCCCAGTCCTGCTGTCAGGTCTAGCGAATCTCACACACGGGGAGCAAGGGGAACTGTGGAGAGACATCTAGAATGAACACAGGTACCGGCTTTACAGGTACGACCAACAAGACAAAACGTTCTGTCAACTCAGCGCGGAGACTCTACACACGCCTGTGGCAGATTCTGCAGCAAGAGGCAGGCTCGGGCGACGGGAGAAGCCTATGTTTTCCGGATCCAGCCTTGAGAGGGGGCTGAATGTGCATGCACACGGGCTCTGCACACATTAGCAGGACGGCTAGCGCGTCTCTGTCTGTGACCTGATGGTGGCGCCTCCTCCAACTTTGGAACCATGTTCCGCCTATCTGTGCTCTGCAGAGCCTGATTCTCACATGTGATCCCAGGCTCTTTTAAGGGGGCTCTCCCTCTTTACACAGCCTGTCGGAACTGACCTAGGTAGAAACTCCTTCGGCTCGTTCCAGTGGGGAGTTTCTCACGGGACAGGGGTCATGTTTGTCTGGGAACGCCCACGGGCCTCTGCAGATGTCACCGCTGTTTGACCCTCTGCTTCTGTACACTGCTGCTCGTAGTGCACAGGGTTCACCCCTGCTGACAGAGCCCCCCGGCCGTTTCCAAACTGACCTGCATAGCCTGCCCCGTTTGCAGGACCTGGGTTTCCCCTTAGAACCCAGGCCTTCTCCATAACCCGGCCTGTGTCCAGAGTGAACGTGCTTGCAAACAGCCCTGGCTTACCCGTGGCTCAGCCCACGGCTCTACGCCTCTCTGGAGAAGTCAACGCCATCTACAAAACCGGTCTGTACATCCTCTGCAGGCCTGAGAGCCTCAACTCTTCCGCAGACTCCCTGACCTGACTGCAGAATGGGAGTCTTTTTACAGAGCCAACGTCTCTCGGCAAGGCCTGCATGGCTTTCCTCACCCGTTGGCATCGTCTGCCTGCTGGAGCTGTCCTGCATATGAAGCTCCCGCGTATCCTCAGAGCTTGCCCGGGCTTTAAGAGCCCGCCCCTGACTAGGAGGCCTTTCTGTGGCCACAGGTGTGGCCCCAGCCTGCTGAGCCTCTGCGCTGATGCGCTTGTCCATAGCTGCAGACGCTCGCCTTCTACCGGATTCTCTCTCACCCCCCTTAGTTAGCACAGCCTTCCCCAGGCGGCAGAGCTCCCGTGTTTGCAGAGCCTCTCAGCTTCCAGTCTTTGCCTGTTTGACAAGCTTGTCTGACCTTTCCCGGGTAGCGCCTGTGTCTCTCCAAAGCTATCCTTGTATACATGGAGGGCCCCGTTGGAAGAACTCATTTCTCTCTGGAGACTTTGAGTGGCCCAATGCCTCATCGGCCTGCAGAAGGTACGCCTGCGTGTAGAGCCCCTGTCTACACAGCCTGCTGCACTGTGCAGACCCTCTGTCTATTTGCACGCTCGTTCCTGACTTTGTCAGACCTTTCTGTACTTGCTGCCCTTTCCTTGAGGTCAGAACCCGTCTTTCCATACAACACTGAGCCCCATTTCAAGAATCCACCCTTATGTGACTGGATTAGTTCCTTTTGTCATAGTCTAATTTAGCACTGTCTGTACTGACTGTCCCTGGGTCTGTCTAAAAGCTGTCTGCGCCAGGCGGTGGTGGCGCACGCCTCTAATCCCAGCACTCGGGAGGCAGAGGCAGGTGGATCTCTGTGAGTTCGAGACCAAGCCTGGCCTACCGAGCAAGTTCCAGGACAAGCTCCAAAAACAATACAGAGAAACCCTGTCTCGAAAAACCAAAATAATAATAATAAAAAAAAGCTGTCTGCGTGTTTCTTTTTCCTTTCGATTCTTTAGATAAGGTCTCCTGTAACTGGGGCTGGCCTCAAATTCGCTCTGTAGCTGAGGATGACCCTGAACTTCTCGTTCTCCTGCCCCCACTCCTGGGTGCTGGGATTAAAGCCATGCACCGCCATGTCAGTTTCTGTGTGGTGCTGGGGGTCAAACCCAGGTCTCTATACATGCTAGGCAAGCGCTCTGCCGACTGAGCTACACCTGCAGCCCTTTGTGGTCAGTTTCTGGCTCTCCGTCTACAGATGCTGCTAGCTCTGCCCATTGCACAGCATCCCACAGGGTCCCTGTGAGCCGTCACTGTGCCTGTCCTGGTTTGCTGAGGTTGCATGTTTAATGCAAGTTACAGTCTATCATGAAGGCACTTTGGAGAGTTTAGGTGGTGCAAGGACTCTTGTTGGGAGCCTGTGACACAGGTGGCCAGAGGTTGGTATCCAACGTTTGCCTCCCCATCACCCTTGCCCAGCCCAGGATGGACACCAAGCAGGACCTCCCAGTCATCCACAGCCACGGAGCACTCCAAATATGGATTACTGAGGTGAGGGGACACGGAGCAGTGTCACCACCCCTTCCCTTCTCCCCTCTAGAGCTCCGTCCTCCACCCTGTCTCTGGGAGTCACGGGCAGAGGTCCCTAACTTGTTACTTGGCAACCTCTTCTCTCAGAACCTAAAGATGCTGCCACTGCCTGAGAGGGATCATGGGAACTTCTTTGAGGAATGTTGCTATGTCATCCTCCATGTGAGTCGATTGGGGGTCTTTCTGAGTAGAAGAAACTCAGGCCTGGAGACAAACTCTGTCTTGAGATCAAAAGCCCGCATACCGTATCCACCCGCAAGGGGCTGCTGCCTTGAGGCCTTCCGGTCTCCATTTCCCCTCGTAGCCCCTGTCCAAGCTCCTGCCCACTGGCTCCCTGATCACTGGCTCCACCTCATCCTCCAACATCCTCAAGCCGGGCCCCTCCCCACACATACACAAATGCCTGGACCCTAGGTCCCTCAGAACCCGAAGGCTACCCCGGGAGGGTCCCGCGACCTGCACTACTGGATCGGAAAGGAGGCCAGCACAGAGACCCAGAGGACCGCGGTCACCTTTGTGCAGCGACTACAGGAGGACCTAGGAGACCAGACGGTGCTACACCGAGAGTCACAGGGCCATGAGTCAGACTGCTTCCACAGCTACTTCCACTCTGGAGTCATGTGAGTGCCGAGAGAGCTGGGGACAGAGAGAGGGCACAGAGAGGGGGCACAGGCTGGCGAGGGTAACGCCAGCCACCCCGAGATAATGGCTTCTCCTTGGCTGAATGGCATATGCACATGTGTGTGTGTCCCCACATGTATGTGTGTGTACATGTATGTATGTGCCCACATGTATGTGTGTGCATGTATGTGCGTGCGCACATGTATGTGTGTATGTGTATATGCCCACATGTATGTGTGTGCACATGTATGTATGTGTATGTGCGTGTGTGTATACATATGTGTGTATGTACTTTGTTAGGATATGTAAGCTCACATACATTGCACTCATCTCAAGCACATAATTCAGTGGTTTAAGATGTGTGCAACCACACATGCTGGTACAAGTGTCTCTTTTGCTTCAGGTTTAGTTTTATTTGTTTGGTTTTTGTTTTGGTTTTCAAGACAGGGTTTCTCTTTGTAGCTCTGGCTGTCCTGAAACTTTCTGTGTGTCACCACCACCAAGTATTTTTTTTAATTGTCACATTTTAGAATGAAAACAATTTAGCTAAGTAAATCATTTTTGTTTCGTATCCCTGGGTTGAATATTTGTATACAGTGCAAACAAGTCTGTGTATATATGAAAAAATATGCTACCCCATGCATGTCCTGTAGATGGGCATGCATGTAGATGGGCGTGCATGTAGATGGGCGTGCACGTAGGTGGGCGTGCACGAAGGTGGGCGTGCATCCCTGAATATCTATGTCCGTGGCACAGATGTGCCCCTCCATGCACTCACATCTAGTCTCGCCTGGGTAGAAAGTACGTGTGAAATTCCAAGTGCACCCCAGGCTGCACAGTTCTACATGCTAATGAGCACTGCACACTTTTGCCTCATGTGCTCACACATGCACATGCTCACATGCACATGTATTACACAGACACACACCATCCCCACACATACTTACACACGTGCATATGCTCACCCCACACTGGTTCCTGCACAAGGTGTGTTCTCATTCACGGGTCCCTATCCTTTCCTCAGCTACAGGAAGGGAGGCCGAGCCTCTGCTCTCAAGCACGCGGAGACCAACATATTCAATGTCCAACAACTGCTCCACATCAGGGGAAGGAAGCATGTGTCTGCCACCGAGGTGAGGGCAGCCGGGGACACCGTCTTACACCCCCCCCCCCACTCACACAGGCTGAGTATCCCGAAGCATAAGAAAGTGCAGGAGTTGGCGGAGAACGTGGGGAGTGTGTGGAACAATGAGCTACAGCTCCCCAATGGCCTGTCTCCCTGAGTAAGGAGGCAGGAGGCAGCCTTGGGCTCCTGGCCCCATCTCAGCCCTGCTGCTGGCCCCTGTCTTTCCTCGTGTCTCCTGTCTCATGGGTGCCTCACGGATGTGGGCGGAGGAGGCAGGAGCAGCTGTGCACTGTGCCCTTGAAGGCAGCATGACGGGAGTGTGCATAGCCTCACACTTTCTCTCACATGCATGCACGCACACACACATGCACACACGCATGCACACTCACACACACACACATGCACACACACATGCACACACACATGCACACGCACACATACCCCGTACTCTAGTCCAGGCAGCGTCCCTCTTTCATAACTTAACACAACGCAGACTTTACTTTTACACGCCAGGGAATTAGCAGAGGAGCAAGACACTCGGCTTGTGGCCAGAGTTAGACGCAGTGAGCATTCGCCTTCAGTGAGGATGGTGGCTCCTTAGTTATGCATCCACAGTCAGCCAAGCTTGTGGCAGCCCCGTGATGTACACGGTCCTTCCCAGGGTTTGCACCGTCACCCCACAGAGTCCCGGTCATGTGGAGACGCACATTCTGTAGCCCTTGGTTTGTCTTATTATTCCACGGTCATTATTTAGTGTCCTCAAAATGTGTGTCTCCATAATTGTCCTTATGCGCCATTACACACTGTCACTACCCAGGCACGTACATACTGTCACCATGAGTACACACTTTTGTTCATACATGATGTGTCCCGTATATGCACATGTGTATGTTCATACAGAGATAAGCAATTATCTATGCTCCACCTCTGTATAGCCACGTGGAAGGTCACATGTGGCTACGAAATACATGCCTGCGTGCTGTGACAGGTGCTGTCTCTCTCTCTCTCACACACACACACACACATGCACACACACGCACACATGCACAGCTGCACACAGCCTCATGCCTACAAGCGACACACCCTGCCTTGCCCCTCCCCCTGCCTGTGGTGCTGGTGGTCTGACGCCTTTCCCTTCCACACCTCTCTCCTGGCTCCGGAAGGTGGCCCTGTCCTGGAACAGCTTTAATAAAGGGGGCATCTTCCTGTTGGACCTGGGCAAGGTGATGATCCAGTGGAATGGACCCCAAACCAGCGTTTCTGAGAAATCACGGGTCAGTGCCTGCCCTAAGAGCTGGGAGCGCAGGGCTTGGGGAGGGGTAGCCCTCCAGGTGTCCATCATCTGGCCACCCCAAGAGGTAGCGGGCTCTCTGCTTCAATCCAGCAGGCATCCGTTAGGCACAGGCTAAGTTCAGACGCGCCACTGGCGGTAGACCTGGGAACACTGGGATGGCAGCACGCCAGTTCTCCAGTCCCTAGCCCCATGCCTATGGGCACCGAGCGGTGATACGGGAGACCTGGGCTGGGCTCTGCGTGGATGACTGTTGGGCCCTCTCCCGCAGGCACTGGCCCTGACTTGCAGCCTCAGGGATAGGGGACGTGGTGGCCGTGCCCAGATCCGTGTGGTGGATGACGAGAACGCAGCCACCGACCTCATGCCCATCATGGAGGCTGTGCTGGGCCGCAGATCAGGCAGCCTGAGTGCGTCTGTGCCCAACAGCAGTGTTAGCCAGCGGCAGAAGGCCAACGTCCGTCTCTACCAGTGAGCAGAACCCGGGAGGGCACGGGGAGACTGAGGGGGCCAGGGCTGTGTGTCTGTCACTGAAACAACATCTCTGCAAAACCCTCTAGTGAAAGCACGGAGGTCTCTGGGCAGGTCATGTGAGGTGTTGGGCCTGCATGGTACGCACTCTTGCGTGGTGTGTGGTAGCGTGGGTGAGAAGAAGCCCATAGTACAGATGGGGAGACTGAGGCCCTGTGAGGGTCAAGGAGCCACCTAAGCCTCAAGCAAGGGGCACAATAATTGAGTTCACAGCTCATGACTTCAGTCTCTGGGAAACCAGAGGAGTTCAAGGGCACTGGGATGGCGTAGGCCAGGAAGAGGCCCGCTGTCCACATCTGGATGCCTGTCCCCCAGTGTTAGCGAGAAGGGAATGGACCTGATAGTCCAAGAATTGGCCACTCGCCCACTGACCCAGGACCTCCTGCAAGATGAAGTAAGGAAAGCCTGTACCTAGTATCCCACCCTTCCCCCACCTTACAACCCCAGTCCCCGCTGACCAGACTCACGCTTTTCCTAGGGCTGCTATCTCCTGGACCAGGGTGGCTTCAAGATCTACATGTGGCAGGGACGAAAGTCCAGCCCCCAGGACAAGAAGGCTGCATTCAGCAGGGCTGTGGTGAGGTCCTGAGGCCCCTACAGGGAGGCAAGACAGGTCTGGTACAGGATGTCCTGCCTGGGGTCTAAGGGGAGAAGTGGCTGCTCCCCTGGAACGTCTTTATCCTGGGGTCAGGAAGTAAGCGTGTCTACCCTGGAAACCTTGCATGGGAGGGCAGATTCCTGACACCCAAAACATCCCATGTGAAGGACTTAGCCTGGTCTTGAGGCCTGAGAGCCTTCTGCACTGGGGGTGGGGAGCAGAGGAGGCCTATGGGGCTGTAGGGTATGCCATGGCCAGCCCTTCACCCTGCCTACCCTCAGAGACGGCGGAGGATCAGTAGTGAGGGGGCCGGCTTGTTAAACGGGTCTCCCGTTTAGTTTAATTAATGCAGCTCAGAGCTTGCTGCCCTGGTAGCCACAGCTTGGGGGGGGTGTTTCTGGGGGTTGAACATAGCTGGAGGGTGGTATTTCTGGGGGTTGAACGCAGCGTAGAGCCCTTGAGCCACAGGCCCGCCTGACAGAGCTGTGTCCCAGGGCTTCATCCAGGCCAAGGGCTACCCAGACTACACCCAGGTGGAGGTGGTGAATGACGGCGCGGAGCCCACCGCCTTCCAGCAGCTGTTCCGGGCGTGGTCGAAGGAGCTGGATGGGAAAAAGCACAGAGGGAAAAGTGAGTATGGGGAGGGGTGCAGGGGTGGAGCCTGGGGCGTGGGCAGACCTGGAAGGGACCGGAGGCCGATGTGGATGCTTGGATGCTTGGGGGGGGCGGAACAGGTCAGGACCACAGCTGGGTGGGTGAGGATGAGAAGGAGGAGGGTGTGGCCAGCCCCTGTGAGATGGTGAGGAGTGAGTGGGCCCGTGACCCACTGGACCACTGAAGAATGTCGTCACTGACTCTAAGCCCCCCACGCAGGCAGACTGCTGCAGGCGAAACTGGACACCGGCGAGCTGCACACCCAGCCTGAGCTGGCGGCCCAGCTCAGAATGGTGGATGACGGCTCTGCGCAGGTGGAGGTGGGGACGCTGGCGCGGGTGCGTCAGTGTGAGCACGGGGTGGGCAGTGTGAGCACGGGGGCAACAGTGTGAGCACGGGGTGTCAGTGTGAGCACGGGGTGTCAGTGTGAGCACCCAGGGTGTCAGTGTGAGCACGGGGCGTCAGTGTGAGCACGGGGGTGTCAGTGTGAGCACGGGGTGGGCAGTGTGAGCACGGGGCGTCAGTGTGAGCACCGGGTGTCAGTGTGAGCACGGGGGCAGCAGTGTGAGCAGGGGGCGTCAGTGTGAGCACGGGGGGCAGCAGTGTGAGCAGGGGGTGTCAGTGTGAGCACGGGACATCAGTGTGAGCACAGGGTGGGCAATGTGAGAACGGGACGTCAGTGTGAGCACAGGGTGTCAGTGTGAGCACAGGGTGGGCAGTGTGAGCACGGGGTGTCAGTGTGAGCACGGGACGTCAGTGTGAGCACAGGGTGGGAAATGTGAGAACAGGACGTCAGTGTGAGCACAGGGTGGGCAGTGTGAGCACGGGGTGTCAGTGTGAGCACAGGGGTGTCAGTGTGAGCACGGGGCGTCAGTGTGAGCACAGGGAGTCAGTGTGAGCACGGGGCGTCAGTGTGAGCATGGGGTGGGCAGTGTGAGCTCGGGGTGTCAGTGTGAGCACGGGGGTGTCAGTGTGAGCACGGGGGTGTCAGTGTGAGCGTCAGTGTGAGCACGGGGTGTCAGCGTGAGCGTCAGTGTGAGCACGGGGTGTCAGTGTGAGCACGGGGTGTCAGTGTGAGCACGGGGGCGGCAGTGTGAGCAGGGGGCGGCAGTGTGAGCACGGGGGTGTCAGTGTGAGCACGGGGCGTCAGTGTGAGCACAGGGTGGGCAGTGTGAGCACGGGGCGTCAGTGTGAGCACGGGGCGTCAGTGTGAGCACAGGGTGTCAGTGTGAGCACGGGGTGGCAGTGTGAGCACGGGGCGGCAATGTGAGCACAGGGACGGCAGTGTGAGCACGGGGCGTCAGTGTGAGCACGGGGCGTCAGCGTGAGCACGGGGCGTCAGCGTGAGCACGGGGCGTCAGTGTGAGCACGGGGGTGTCAGTGTGAGCACGGGGTGGCAGTGTGAGCACGGGGCGGCAGTGTGAGCACGGGGACGGCAGTGTGAGCACGGGGGTGTCAGTGTGAGCACGGGGGTGTCAGTGTGAGCATCAGTGTGAGCACGGGGTGTCCGTGTGAGCGTCAGTGTGAGCACGGGGTGTCAGTGTGAGCACGGGGCGTCAGTGTGAGCACGGGGCGTCAGTGTGAGCACGGGGGTGTTAGTGTGAGCAGGGGTTGTCAGTGTGAGCACAGGGCGTCAGTGTGAGCACGGGGCGTCAGTGTGAGCACGGGGCGTCAGTGTGAGCACGGGGCGTCAGTGTGAGCACGGGGGTGTTAGTGTGAGCAGGGGTTGTCAGTGTGAGCACGGGGCGGCAGTGTGAGCACGGGGGCGGCAGTGGTTGACCGGGGGTGAAGTGGAGGCAGAGGTCACGCTTGTAGACCCAGCACTGTGCGTGAATGTCAGGAGCTCAAGGCAACCCTGAACTGCGTGAGACACTGCCTCAACGGCTAGAACGACCGGGAACAAGTGAGTGTTCACCCACACACAACCAGGGCTGTCTTCAGGGAAACAGAAACGTACACGCCCACCCTCCAGCAGCTGGCTCAGGCAGTGATCCCAAACCACACAGCGAGCGCCATGGTCGCTCACTCACAGACACACAGCTTGACAACACCTGGACAGTGACACAGGTGCACAGTCACACAAAACACTGCCCCAACACACCTAACCCCTAACACACTGTCATAAGCCCCCATCTGCCCCAACACACCTAACCCCTAACACACTGTCATAAGCCCCCATCTGGCCTCAGACCAGCGTTCTCATACTGACCTGTTGGACTCGTAAGGCAGAACCCTTAGTTCCCTCAAGCCTGTTGTTAAGACTTAAAATGGAGGCAGAGATGTGGTCTGATCTGGCCCCCAAGCTGGTGTGGGGTGCCGTGAACTTAGGGGAACAAGGCTACTGAGTCTTGGCAGGGACGCGGGAGGGGGGGTGGAGTCTAAATTCTGTAGGTCAGCCGAGGTCAGAGAAAATGGACGTTCTGCCTACATTTGCCCTTGTAGGGATGACCAGAAGTGATGGGTGAGAAGAGATGGAGAGAGGAGGATAAGGGGGACAGAGAGAAAGAGGAAGACACGGGGAGTGGGTGGGGAGATTGGGAAAGCAGGGGTGAGAGGAGACAGAAGGGGGGATGGGGGAAGCACAGGGGGGGAGAGCCTCACTCCCAAGGTGAGTGTACCTTTGGGGAGGTTTTGGTCCCGGTAGCCTTTTCAGAAAAGCATGGGTTTCTGATGTGCTGGCTATAGCGGAGGTCTCCTGGTGGGAAGGGCTGGGCTTAGAATAGCCACGTGCCAACCTGCCCAGACCTGGACTCCTTCCACCAGTTCTCTCCGGTTCTAAAGCTGAGGTGGCTCCCACGGCAACAGCCATCACTCAGACAAAGTGAGCAAGGGCTTCCACCTCAGCCTTGGTTGGGCGTTGGTTTCCTGTTTGTTAGACGGGGTCTCACATGTCCCAAGCTGGCCTCAAACTCACTATCTAGTCCAGGCTGACCTTGAACTTCTCATTCTCCTGCCTCGCCTCGCCAGTGCCAGGATCACAGGGGGAACCCCAGTGTTTTGCACGATAGACAAGCACTTGACCAACTGGAGCATGCCAGGGTGTTCGTTTTTTGTTCAATCAGGGTTTTGCTTTTGTTTTATTTCTGGGTTTTGTTGTTGCTAATGACACTTTAAAGAAAAAAAAGGAAATGTCCCCTCCAGAGTGCCAAGGACTGTCTTCCAGCCTGGCTGCCGCTCTCCTGAACTGAGCACAGCATCTCTGTGCCTGCAGGAGGAGTGCTGTCTGCCCCTCACGGGAGCTGTAGCCGCTGGGGTCCAGACTGGGGTGGCCACGGGCCAGGAGCTGGATTCATCGTGCAGCCTTTAGTCTTTTACTTATTTCCCCAGGTGCAGGATGCAAACTAAGTCTGGGCTGAGAGCAGCAAAGGCGGGGGGGGGGTCCTGAGGTCTGCGGGGGGGTGGGGCGAAGGGTCGCTCACATGTCCAGTTTGAAGCAGGGAGGGCACAGAGCCGGGCAAGCCGCTTGCTGGCACGGGCAAGCCGACGAGAGCTTTCCGGCTGGACACCGATGGGTAGGCGGCTGCGGGTAAGGTTCATCCGTGCCCACGGGTTCCTTGCTCTCAGGTGTGGTGCATCCAGGACTTCCAAAGGCAGCCCGTGGACCCCAAGCACCATGGCCAGTTGTGCTCAGGAAACTGCTACCTTGTCCTCTACACATACCAGGCACTGGGCCGTGTCCAGTACATCCTGTATCTGTGGCGGGTATGTCCACCTGCTGGGGGATCTGATGCCTTCCAGACCAAGACCTCGAATCTGAGAATGGGAGAGGAAACCCCAGGCCATTATTGTTCCCTCCCTGCTGCAGGGCCACCAGGCCACCATAGAAGACGCCAAGGCCCTGGACCGAAATGCTGAGGAGTTGGACGTTGCCTACCAGGGAGCACTGGTGCAGGCTCATGTGACCATGGGCAGAGAGCCCCCCCCACTTCCTAGCCATCTTCCAGGGGCAGCTGGTGGTCTTCCAGGTAGGGCCCACGTTGGGCTTTCCATCCCTTTGGCACAGGGGCTGGAGACAGGGCCCCATTGGTCAGGCGCTCGTCTTGCGAGCTCGTGGCTTCCACACCTACATAAAGACACTGGGCGTGAGGCTGCATGCTCATGATCCTAGGCCTGGGGAAGTCAAGATGGGCGGGGGGGGGGGGGGGCGGATTCCTGGAGCTCGATGGCTAGCCTAATTGGTGAGCTCCGGGCCAGTGGGAGACCTCATCTCAGAGGACAGCATTCCTGAGAATGAAATTCTGACAACACAGGGCCTTTCGTGAGCATGCCATGGTGGCAGGCACATGCTCTGGGCCCTCTTAGATGGCGCGACAAGTCTAATTAGAAAGTTTTACCGTCCTACGGACAGGACTGCCACGGCCCGCACTCAAAGGGCCAGAGGACAGTGGTGGCCTTAGTTCGGAAGCAGCTTGCTCACCACTAGGACAGGGAGGTGGCCCCCAGGAGCCCTTGCCTCAGCCGGAGGCCCTGCCTTCTTCTTCCAGGGGAGTGCAGGTAGCAGAGGGCAGAGGCCGCCAGTCTCCACCACGAGGCTGTTCCACGTGCAAGGGACTGACAGCCGCAACACCCGAACCATGGAGGTGCCAGCCCGCGCTGCCTCCCTAGCCTCCGGCGACATCTTCTTTGTGATCACAAAGGGTGCCGGCTACCTCTGGTTTGGGAAGGTACCTGTGGGTCACCACTTGGGAAGGCGGAACTAGGTCAGAGATGGGTCCCCTCCACCCGAATGCAGACTTGAAACCCAGCCGGACACAGGCCAGCGGGATGGCGTGAAGTGTCCCAGGGACCCTGACAGTACTAGGGGAATTTTCACAGTCGCAAGTGGACTGACTGGGGTTCCTCAGGTCAGAGGCGTGCCTGGCTCTGGCTGCCTCCCTCCCTACTCGGGGACTTTTCCCAAGCCTCTCTGGGGAAGGGAGAGGTCCAGTCTTTGCTTGTGGGTTTTTGGTTGTTGCTGTTTTTCTCATCTTTAGCATAAACCGCAAGTGAGTCCCAAGCCTGGGTGTCCCTCATTCACACGCAGGACCCAGAGAGAGTCATGGGGTCACAGCTGGGGAAGCTGACAGGGAAAACGCCTTGCTCACAGGGGCCTCACCCACAGCTTAGCCTCCCTTGGCTCAGGCCCAGCTCCCCACAGGCTCCCCCACCCTCCCTGGGGGCTGGAGGTGAAGGGCCCTCGCGGGGTTTGACCCAGCCTCTGCTTGCCAGGGCTGTAATGGGGACCAGCGGGAGATGGCGCGGATGGTGGCCGCTGTCTTCACAGGACATAACATGGAAACGGTGCTGGAGGGTCAGGAGCCTCCCCACTTCTGGGAAGCCCTCGGAGGCCGGGCCCCCTATCCCAGCGTCCAGAGGTAACAGGATCACCAGAGAATATGTTTATCTCGAGGAGAAACTGAGGCCCGGAGATGGGTGACTGGTGAAGGCCACACAGAGAGCTGGAAAGATAAGCCTAGAACTGCGGGACTCTCAGTCCCCCGTCTGCAGAGCCACAGGGCTGAATGCACCTTCAAGTCTCCAGCCCTTAGTGACTTGGATGGGGAAAATGCCAGGGCAAAAGGGAGAGATGGCGCCCTCTGCTGGCAGAATCCACTTCCTGCATTGCCTCTGAGGGCAATCCCCAAACCACAGGATTAGTGGATAAGGGGTACATAGGAGATGAGGGCAGGGTAAGAACCCCAGGGTAGCGGGAGCCACCTCCCTCAGTGCCTCCCTCCAACCAAGTCTCCTGGGTTCCCACACAGCAGGCTTTCTTTTGGGACACCAACCAGCCCCCAAATCATGACACAGGGACTTGCTATTTGTTATAAATGCTCGGCCCTATCTTAGCTCTTATTTTAATCTGTTTATCTACATTTTGCCTCTGGGCTTTTTGCCTTCCTTTCTTTCTTCCCTTCCTCCCTCCCTCTCTCTTTTCTTTCTGTATGTCCTATTTTCCTGCTTCTCGTGTCTGTCTGTCTGTCTGTCTGTCTGTCGCCTGGCTTCTGGCTCTGGGCGTGTCCCTCTCTTTCTCCCTCGTTCTCTTCTTTATTGAGCCTAGATTTCTCCCCCTACTTCTGCTCTCTGCCCACCAACCCTATCCCTCTCCTGCCGTTCAGCATTTTATCAGAACAACCGGGTGCCTTAGGCAGGCAAGGTGAAACACACTCAACCCATCTTTACACAATTAAACACGTGCAAAACATCTTTACACAATCAAACACACACAAAACATCTTTACACAATTAAACATACACAACCCATCTTTACACAGTTAAACACACTCAACCCATCTTTATACAATTAAACACACGCAAAACATCTTTACACAATCAAACACATGCAACCCATCTTTACACAATCAAACACACGCAAAACATCTTTACACAATTAAACACACGCAGCATGAACAAATGCAACACACCTCTCCGTCACTAGCAAAGGCAGCAGAAGCAAATGCAATGCATCTTTACACAGTTAAATGCTCTACAACACTCCCACACCTGCTCCCCTCCTTCCTCCCTGGACCTGAGGCTGGGTCCTGACTTAGCTGGGTGCAGGTGACTCCCATTCTAGGGAGGGCAGGGCCTCAGCTCGGCTTCTCCCACTAGGTCTGGGGTCGCCTCCTCCGGTGCCTACCCAGATATATCTGTGGAGCAGCTGGCAGATTTCCAGTCTCCTGCTCTGCTTGTCCCTTGAGAGAGAGGGACCCTGGCCCAGAGCAGGCTCTCCTAGAGACACTCAAAGGTCAGATGAAGCCCAGAGGAAGGCCCGAGGCTCCTGACCCAAAGAAACTGCTTTCCCTGGGGTAGGGGCAAAGGCACCCATGCCAAGGGCCAGCGTGGCCCAGACTGTACCCCCAACAGCCCCTCCTCTGGCCAGGCTCCCCGAGGAGGTCCCCAGCATCCAGCCCCGACTGTTTGAGTGCTCCAGTCCCTCTGGCTGCCTGGTCCTCACGGAAGTGGTGTACTTCGGCCAAGAGGACTTGGACAAGCATGACATCATGTTACTAGACACCTGTCAGGAGGTGAGGCAACCACTCCAGCTTGGCAGGACTGGGGGAAGAATGCAGGGTGTGCCTGCACCAGGGTAGCTGGGTGTGAAGGTGAGCTCAGCCTGTGACCCATAGTTGCCACGGACTGAGAGTCTGGGTGTGACAGTAAAACCACAGCGTACTAGGAACACGAGTTGGGCTGTGCGTGATTATGACGGTGCACATGCTGTGTGCGATACTGTGTGTCCCGTGATGACTCCACGTGGCTGAGGGCCTGCGGCTGACCGGATGGCAGTAGCGGTAAGTGGGCAGACTGACTGGATAGCAGCATGACGCAGATGGTTCTTCTTCGCACCTGGACGTTTGACTGAGTGCTTACGGCCGTGTGTTAGGCAGACCATGCTGGCGATTGTGTGGCCCAGTACCAGCCAGCTGTGACCGGTGACGCTGCATTCACACGCGTGAAAGGGAAAGAGGGAACGCGTGATCGGCTGCTGGTGTGACTGAGCAGCTGTGTCTGCTGTGAGACAGCATGTGTAACCAGCCAGGCGTGCACGACAGCTAAGCAGACGTGACCGTGTCTCCGTGCAGACACTGCGATGGTGGTGGGTGACGGTGCGTGGCCGTGACTGCCCGCCTGGCCTGATGGCCGTGGACAATGGGGTCTTTGTAGCTGTGAGAGTGCCTGCACGTGTGTGTTTGTGCATGCACCACTACGTGTGTGAGACTGTGTGTCGCTGTGTGTATGCATGTGTGTATGTGTGTGTGACTATGTGTGGTACTGTCTGAGTTCTGAGGAGGGCGAGCTCTTATTTCACTCAGAGAAAACCCAAGCCCAGACCCCATCCTCGCTCTCCCCGACCTCACAGCTGACCCCATTACCTAGCCAGCCCCTCTCTAATCAAATCTCCCCGGATTCCACCTCGCTGCTCTTTTCCCAGCCACGGGGGCCTCTTGCTGTCCCCTGAGCGTGCCAGGGACATCCCACCTTAGGCCTTGGCGCTGATCCTTCATTTTCTCCCGAGACATATCTGGGGCTTGCTTTCCCACGAAGGCTCTGTGGGTGGAGGTTTTCCTCAAATCTTTGTATTTCATTTGAGACAGTCTGCTTTGAGCTCACGATGTAACCGGAGCCTCCTCTGGTCTGATTCCACCTCCCGAGTGCTGGGATTCCAGTCTGCCCTACCCCACTCCCGAGTGCTGGGATTCCAGTCTGCCCTACCCCGCTCCTGTGTGTGGCGCCGGGGTCGACCCAGGACGTGGCTAAGCAATCACTATTGAATAGTAACCACTCGTCCGTTCCCCCCCCCCCCGCCAGGCCCTCCTTTTTTTTGAGGCAGGGTCTTGTGTTGCCCAGGCTAGCCTCAACCTCCCTCTGTAGCCCGAGTTTGGGCTTGAACCAATCCTCTTTCCTCCACCTTGCCAATGCCGTCCTTCCGGACGTCTGCCACGGTACCCGGTGCAGGGATGCTGGCTTGGATCCCTTCGCTGCTGAGCTCTTACTCCTAGCACATGCTAGTGCTACGTAACTATATTAGACGCATGTGTGTGTGCCTGTGACAGCCAGGGTTCGTGGGTGCGGGGCATCTCCACTTGCTGGGTGAGTTTCCTTGGCTAGGCCTATGCACGCAAGGGTTCTGACCATCTGAACGTGGCGCAGGGAGGAGGTGGCTGAGTCAGGGAGCCCCTCCGCCTGTTCAAGCCCAGGCTTCCTCTGTGGCGCAGGTCTTCCTGTGGCTTGGGGAGGACGCCGGTGAACGGAAGAAGGAGGCAGTGGCCTGTGGCCATGAGTACCTGAGAACTCATCCAGCAGAGAGGAGCCTGGACACGCCCATTGTTCTGGTCAAGCAGGGCCACGAACCTGCCACCTTCACTGGGTGGTTTGTCACCTGGGACCCCTACAAGTGGACGGTGAGGCTTAACACCCCTCCCTCATCTTCATCAGGGCGGGGAGGGAGCGCTGGAAGAGGCCCTCCTGGGCTGAGGATCCCCGAGTCGGGGGAGAGAAACCTATCTTGTCCTTTAGGCCCCTGCCCGGCCTCCAGGGAGCTCCTTTCCTTGCCAGTCCCGATAACAGCCCCAACTCCTGTCCCCAGAACAACCAGTCCTATGAGGAGGTAGTGGAGAGATGCCTGGGACCAGTGTCTGCCATCTCTGAGATAACAGCAGTAAGTTCCCCTGGCAGCCCCAGATAGTGGTCTGGGTTCAGATGGGCCAGAGGCAGAGGGCCCGGGGGTTCAGATGGTGCCAAGAGGCTGCGGGTTCAGTGTGATCTCTAGTGGGTGCCTGTCCTCCGTCTTCCAAACCATGAGGCTTCTCTCTGGACAGGAAGTGCATAACTTCCAGCTAACTCGATGGCCTGCTGATAATAAGGCTGGTCCCTCAACCCTACTGGCCTTCAAGGGTTCCCAGGACAGCCCAGAGAACGATCTGGAGCTGGGCCTTGGCGTTGATGGCAAGAACCCCAGCATAAGCCCCAGCGGCTCAGCGGTCAATGGGAGCCTGCCCCGGGAAAGGCTGATGTACCAGGCCGTGGAGGACCTGCCGCAGGGTGTGGACCCTGCCCGCAAGGAGGTGGGTGCCGCGGCGCTGGCCTGCAACCTAACTCTGCTCTGGAGGATCCCAGGGTTCCCAGCCCCAAAGGACAGGCAGTGAGCAGCCTGGAGAGGTGTAGAATGGATGTCACCTCTGGGTGGCACGGGAATCTGGGCCCCAGTAACTCCCTTCCCTCCCCACCGCCACCCCTACCCCCCCGCCCCCAGTTCTATCTCTCAGACTCTGACTTTCAAGACATCTTTGGGAAGTCCAAGGAGGACTTCTACAGCATGGCCAAGTGGAAGCAGCAGCAGGAGAAAAAGAGGCTGGGCCTCTTCTGAGCCGGGGACCCCGAGTCTCCTCCTGGAATAACTCCCCCCTTCTCAATAAAAGTCAGTGGCTGGTGTCAGGTGTGGCCTGTGTGTTGTCTGGTGGAGTCCCCTTATCAGCAGCAGGACCCCGTGGTACTCTGGGCCATATCCCCCTCCATGGCAAGGGTTCCTTCAGACTGCTCATTCCAAGTGACCCCATGATGGGAAGGGGTGCAAATGTATGAGGCCGTGAGGGATTCTCTGGTGTCTGTGTAAGAAGACGAAGACTACAAGGCTTCACCTTGTGATCTTTATAAAAACTCACAACCTAAAGACAGCTAGAGGCTAGGGAGAGGGCTGCAGTGTTGTTCCTAACGGAATTTTAGGCCACTCCGGGGACTGGGCTGGCCCCTGGGTCCCCAGGGAGGCAGAAGCACAGGCGATGTGTTGGAGTTGAAGGCAGTTCAGGGCCTGGAGCTCCCATCAGAAGCCGGTGACACAAAGCCAGCCTTGCCTAAGGTGTGGACACAGCTTGGCCCATTCAGAGTGGACCTCACCCAGTCCCCAGCTTAGTCCTGGAGGGAGATCTTCACGAAGAGGGTGGCTGATGGATGCTGGTCTCCGTTCTTAGACAAGAGGTGGACGTGGCGGTACCCTGGTGGGAAGGACAGTTCTGGTCACGGGGAGAGGACACTCAAGGCATAGTGAGGGGCAGGCCGAGAGAAGCCAGGCCCCGCCCCCTGCTCCTGGCCGGCCCCCTCCCTCCAACACTCACCCTGCTTGAGGCTGTTCCAGGGGATGGTACTCTGGCCAATGAAGTCGTTCTTAGAGGAGGCGTCATAGTCCTCTACCACGAAGCGTACGAGGGCAAGGTCAGGCACAGCCACCTCAAACTCAAACTCCGTGTCCCACCATGGGTTGAAACCTAGGACAAACACCTCATCAACAGCAAGGTCACCAGCACCAGCCACCTGGCCCAACGCAGCCAGTGCATACTGTACCGTTATTGGTAATAACCGCGGTCTGACGGCTGGCCACGTCCCGGCCCACACCGTGGATCTCCACTATCACCTTGGGGTCCACGATGGAATTCTTACTCTTGTTGACTTTTGGTAGCTGCTGTCCAGAGATGACCTAGGGAAAAGTGGGGACAGTGAGTATCTAGGGATGGCAGTGGGCAGGCGGGGTCCCCAAAGGCAGCCGTCCCTTCTGTGTCTTCCCATACCCGGACACGGAGCCTCTTCTGAGACCACCAGGGTCCCTGAGTCAGGGCACGTGAGTTGAAGGCGGTGTCGGGGTCTCTCAGGAAGGCAGGTTTCAGCACATACCCACAGGCTCCATTGTCCTGGAAGCGGCCCAGGTACACATCCATCTCTGGCCCCGGGGTTTGGAAGTTCAGAGCCACTATAGGTAGATTAGAGTAGTCGCAAGCTGTGGGCTGGCCCCAGAGTCCTGGAGCCCAGCCTGCTCAGAGTGTGCTATAGTCTAGGTTCTAGAGTCCTGGAGCCCAGCCTGCTCAGAGTGTGCTATAGTCTAGGTTCTAGAGTCCTAGAGCCCAGCCTGCTCAGAGTGTGCTATAGTCTAGGTTCCTACGTGCATCGGAAGCAGGATCCAAGATGTTCCAGTGTCTCCTGCCTTCCCATCACCCTAACGGACCCACTACACTGAGCACATGTTGTACGTATTTGTATGTGTGTGTTCATGTGAGTGTGTGCATGTGTCTACACATATGTGGAGGCCAGAGGCCAATGCCTGACATCTTTCTCAATCACTTTTTACTTTAGTTTTTTGAGACAGGGTTTCTACTGAACCCTGAGCTCACCAATTTATCTGGGCAGGCTGGCCATGCACTCCAGAGAGCAGCACGTCTCTGCCTGCTCAGTGCCGGGATTACAGATGTGTATACAGACGTATGTCATCACTCCTACATGGGTAGGAATCCCAACACAGGACCTCATGCTTGTATGGCAAACATCTTTCTGAGTCATCTCTCCAGCCCATTTTGTTGGGTTTTGAGGCAGAGTCTCACATAGCCTAGGCTGGCCTTGAACTCACTATGTAGCCAAGTAAGACCTTGAGCTCCTAACCCTACCCATCCCTGTGTCCACCTTGAGAGTGCTGGCATGGCAGGTGTGACACCACTCCCGTTCTCCACAGTGCGGAGGATTGAACTTAGGACGTCGTGCAGGCCAGGCGAGCCCTTTAACAGCTGAACTGCACGTTCCATTTCTGATGGCAAATTCAAATGGCTGGAGTGCACACCAGACACAGACTTGCTGGCCAGGCAGTTGCCACGCTCGCCAGGCAGTTGCCACGCTCGCCAGGCAGTTGCCACGCTCGGCTCTTGGTCCACACCCAACCCTTCTCAGGTCCCCAGACCTCTCCGGCGACCGCCAGGGCTCTAGGCCCCTGCATGCGGCCTGGTGCTCGTTGTAACCTCCCTCCATCCCAGCTGGTCCGTACCAATCTGGCAGCCCCCGTTCCACATCTCCACGGGGCCGTAGTTGGAGGAGTCTGTTCTTCTCCCAGCTGGGTATATCCTGCTAAGGTGGCTCACGTTGTGGCGGACAAAATTATTTCCTGAGAACGGGTGGGGGTCAGGTCATCAGTGAAGGCCTCGGTGCGCTAAAGACACCCCCACTGCTCCCCACCTCGCCGGTTCTGCCCAGACGTAAAGCAGGGAATGCCAACTTGGGACCCTGCAAGGGTGAAGGGCAGGCCTGGTCTTGACCAGTTCAGACGTCCAGGATCGTATGTCTGTGAGAGCAGGGCCTCACCTGACTCTTGAAGCAGCCGGAGGGCGCGGTTCTCAGAGAAGGAAGCCATCTCATAGAATGCCTGCCCGGAGGTGCTAGGATTGGAGAAGCCACTGAAGTGGACACTCTTGCAGTAAATGACCATGTCAGAGAGTTCTGGCGCCAATTTTAGCTTATCCTCCTGGAGGCCACGAGGAGGCCCCGGTTAGAGCCAGAGGGTAGGGCAAGCCGGGCACTGAGCACCAAAAGCCCAAACAGAGAAGAGAGGGAAGGGACAGACAGAGAGAGGGGGCAGAAAGTCTAAATGGCAGCCACGGAAAAACTAAGACGAGGCAACTGTCCCATGGGCAATGGGAGCGGGAAGGACTCGGCCACCCCCTCTCCACGGCTTCCCCTAGAACCTGGGACCTCTGCTGCACTTGGCTCCGCACAGCCTCATCCTCCATTTCAGCGGCCTCGTCTTCGTCAGACACGTCGGCGACCTCGGGCCCATTTTCCCCTCCAGCAGGCAGCAGCCCTCCAAACTTCTTCCCTTTCAGCAGGATCTTGCCCTTTAGTTGCTGGGGACACACGGCCAACCGGTTAAGACCCACCTAGGCCTCCCAGCCAGGGGCCCCTTCCCCGCCTTCAGGGTGCCCGCTCTGTACCTCAGGGGAAGGCAAGCTCTCGGTAACCCCATCCAGCGGCTGGTCCAGCAGCAGGGGCCCCAGGATGGCCCTCAGGTGACGCGCCATCACTCGCTGTTGCTCCAGACTGCAGTGGTTCTCCAGGGATAGGATGACCGGGTAGGGGGACGCCTAGAAGCCCCGAGAAGAGTTTGAAGGGACCGTCCATCCCTGGTACCCTCTCCTTACTCCCATGGGCACACCTAACCTTGAAGGCGTAGTCCCGGATGGCCCTGAGCACGTCGCAGAAAAGAATCTTAGATGTGAAAGTGTAGCCGTGGTAGATGACGGGCTCCTGGTTGGGACCGTCCCAGCAGTCAAGTTCTACACAGCGGCAGCCTTTGCACAGAGCCCTGCAGGGGGTGGTGACAGCCAGGCTAGGACCTGCCAAGTCTGGTCCCGGGACTCGCCCCTGGCAGTCCGCCCCCTTCCCCCGGACTGCACCGGATGTAGGCCTCCGTGCTGCTGGGCCCTCTGAGCTGGTCTTCCAGCAGGTAGGTGTTGTGAGAAGAGGACACTAAGTAGTGGCTGAGCGGCTGGTCCATGTCCTGGTAGACACGGCGGTGTGCCGGGCTGAAGGCGCTGCCGTCAGCTGACAGCAAGTACATGAGGAAGCCATCCTTGGTCATCTGCCGCTGAGCCTTGGCTAGGGTAGGGAGAAGCCACCGTTTCCAGTCACAGCTAGTTGCCTAACCGCTGTGGAAAGACAAGCCTTTTCTCCACTCTGCCTGCCCACCCGCCTTCGGCTAGCGCCCTGCAGCTCTGGGGAGCGGACGTCCCGGGCTCCCAGCGAGACTGTGGTCACAGTGTGGTGAGGCCCTGTCTCTTCCTTCCTTCCTTCTGTCACCTCCGAGCTGGGTGACATCGCTCAGAGCTGAATGCAGGCTCCCACCCAAGCACTCTACCCCGGTGCCGCATCCTTAGGCCCCTCTAACTCTGTATTCTGAGCCTGGGTCTCACTGAGCGGACAGGCTGGCCTGGAGGTGGCGAGCAGGGCTCTATCTCCTTTCTCTAGGTCACTGTCTCAAAGCCGCATCCAGAACAGACACAAAGAACAGCAATGATGACCTTGGCTTCACCAGCCACTTCTTTCTATGTCTTGGGATAGGGACACCCAATGCCCCTTGAAGAAGGAACTGAAGGGAAGCGGAGCCCAGACAGGGCAAACACTGGCGTGCTCTCTCCCCCACGCACCTGCTTACACAGGATGGCCGCACACTGATCTGCAGCCCTGGGCCTGGCTCCCTCCAGCACCTCTGTCTGCCTGCAGTTCCCTCAGGGTCTCCCAACCATGCAGCTCTGGGAGGCTGGGCACTCACCGGTCTCACTGGGCTCGTAGCGCTCAATGAGGGAGAGGGCCAGTGCAGGCCCTGCCGCCTCCTCTCGCTGCTGATGCTGCAGGAAAGTGACCAGCTTCTCCACTGACAGGGTCTCGGCAGATCCCGCGGCCTCTGCAAAGACTTGGTCGATCTCCGCCCGCTCAGTCAGCATCTTGTAGAAGGTCTCAATCTCCTCATCCTCCAGCGAGTCTGTCTGGGAGTGGTCACACTCCTGCAAAGCCAGCACAGCCCGAGGGCTCAGGCCCGGCCCCGTGCCCGGCCCGGGGCCCCACAGCCGCTGGAAGGCCGCTCACCCTGAAGATCCTCCTGGCATAGCTGTCATCCACCTGTATGT